ATGAAATGCTTCCTAAGTAGATATGCTTATGAATATAAGTGCCTATAACCATATGAGTCTAAACTGCAGATCAGAAAGTGGTGGGGAAAGGGAGTCAATGGAGAGAACTAGAGCTACCGCCATTAAGATAGGAAGAACTCAATGAGTAGCCATTAAATTAATTACAAAGGTCAGAGGCCAGGGCCAGTAGGTGGCAAAGTGGATAGAGCAAGGTCCCGGAAGCCAGGAGGACCTGAATTCAAATCTAGCCTCAGACACTTGACACTTACTAGCTGTGTGACCCCGAGCAAATCACTTAACCCCATTGCCTAGCCAAAAAAACAAAAACAAAACAAAGGACAGAGGCTGGGGAACCAAACATTGGAAGAAAAACATCTACCATCCCAATATGGACTGCTGATTTCATTAGGATAAGGAACTCCCAGGTGAGGAAAATCTCTACTAGTGTACATTGTCACCTCAACACCTTAGAAAGTTTCACAGGAGCAGTGGTATCAAACTCAAATAGAGAGGATGGCCACTAAACCGTACATGAGGATCCTTATGGGCTACAGATTGACTAAGAAAATAACATGTTACATAGATAGACAAATAAATATACACACATGTGCGTGTATGTACATATGTGTATATGCATGTGTATACTATCTTTTATTACTATATCCAAACATTAAAATCAGATAGTAACTACACATTTTAATCTGGTTCAGGCCATACACACCAAGGATTATTGTGTAGCTCACAGCCTGCCTCTTTGATATGCCTGGCATAAAGCAGTGAGAGTTATAGTGTGTGGCCCTGGCTCAGTAGGTATCAGTAGGTATCAGAGGCAGGATTTGAACCCAGGTTTTTCCTAGCTTCAAGGCAGGCTGCCATATTTAAAAAAAGAAGAAGAAGAAGAAAAGAAAAAGGACATAAAAAGTGTCAATAACTAGTTAGCCATGTGCCTACTTTCCCACAATCACCTCTACAAAATCTTTGAGATGTGCCCATTGGGGACATCCTTGATGAGGGTATGAGAAGGGCCTCCTTTGGACTGAATAGGTTGCAGCCTAATACTGATGAAGAAGGGATGCTAAGGATATCACCAGAGAGATGTGAACAGAAGAGATCATCTAGTAGGAGCAGGGGTGAATAATTGGAGAGCTCATGTGCTCCACTGAACAAAAAATAAAGAGTTCTAGGGGAATACTCCCTACATTTTGGGTGGGTTCCCTTTGGGGAACTGATGGGAAGTATGTATTGAAATAGAATAAGATGAAAAGACATGGTTGCTTTGCAATATTTCTCTCTGGAGGGACAGAATTACTGACCCATCAAAGCATGTGAAACTGCAAATCTATTATATACAACTTGCTATTCTTTTAAAATATATAATAAAGTTATCATGTAACTCCCTTTTTTCTTTTTTCTTTCCTCCCCACTCCCCCCACCCTAGAGATGGTTACTATTAGACACAAATGTGTGTGTGTGTGTGTGTGTGTGTGTGTGTGTATAAATATATGTAAAACCATTCTATGGATATTTCTATTTATCTGTGCTTCCTCTGGATGTAGATAGCATCTTTCTTCATATGTCCTTTGTAGTTAATTTGGGTATTTACAATAGTCAAAACAACTCATTCACTCAAGGTTGTTCTTCAAACAATATTGCTGTTACTATACACAAAAACATTCTCTTGGTTCTGCTCATTTTGCTCTTCATTATTTTATGTAAATCTATCCATTTTTCTAAGATCATTGAACTCATCATTTCTTATGGCACAGTAATATTCCATCACAATTATATGCCACAACTTGTTCAGTCATTCCCCAACTTATGGGCAGCCCCGCAATTTCCAGTTCTTTGCCAACACACAGACAGCTGCTATAAACATTTTAAAACATGTAGGTTCTTTTCCTTTTTAATTTCCATTACGTAAAGACTTTGTTCCTTCCTTTCCTCACTATAACAAAAAAATTTTTTTTAATCTCTTTTCCAGTTGGTCTTCCAGGTGATCTCTTAGGTGCCACAGATTTAAGATCTTCCTCTTTTTGCCTCATGCTATTTCTACAAGTTGAACTTCACAGGAACAGTTGTCTCTGACCTTTCTTTAGCAGACAGACTCATTTGGCTATTTGAATAGCTAAAAAAAAGGAAAAGCTTAAATATCTTAATATTGTTACCTACTGTATTGGCAGAGCTTTTACAGTAGTTTGATACTTTGAAAAAGGAAAACACAGGGTCTGCCTCATTCCCTACATTCTAAAAAATCAATAGAAGGCATGAAACTATAAGGCAAGGGATATTTTGTTCTGTTCTTGCTTTGAGGAAGGGTAGAATCATCTTTTTTACTTTTTTAAATTTTTTTTAATTTTTAGGCAGTTGGCTTGTGACTTGGCCAGGGTCATACAGCTAGTAAGTGTCAAGTGTTTGGCCCGAGGCCAGATTTGAACTCAGGTCCTCCTGACTTCAGGGCCGGTGCTGTATCCACTGTGCCACCTAGCTGCCCTCTGCAATCATCTTTGATAAAATCTAACTACTTCACTTGCTTCTTACCTCCTAGGATTTCCAGAAATGTCTTAGGAAAATAACTTTGTCCCTAGGGCTTCATTAAGGTCATAATCCAATTCAATCTTGGAAAAAGACTTAAGGAACCTATTCTTATTTAGTCCAACCAGAAGTCAAAATTCTATCCAGGCAAATGGAATCTTACTGTTACACAGCCTACATATATGGGAAAAGACAGCTCCATCATAACTGGAAGTCAAGTGTTATGGGTGCCTTATTGTACTAGAAGGAGGGAAAGTCAAGAGAAACAATTTTTCACTTTTTGGGAAAAAAATCTGATATTCATGCATTCATGAATTCAGCAAATCATTATTTAGTACCTATGAGGTATAAGGCATTGGTTTATAGATGCTATGAGAGATTTTTTTTAAGTACCTATGTTCTAGGAATTTTACAATCTAGTAGAGGAAATAAAGGGCAGTTAGGTGGGATGGTAGAGAGAGCATGTGGCCTAGAGTCTAGATCTGAGTTCAAATTCTATCTCATATACTTATTAGCTGTGTGACCCTGGGCAAGTCACTTAACTCTGTTTGCCTCAGTTTCCTCATCTGTAAAATAAGCTGGAAAAGGAAATGGCAAACCACTCCAGTATCTTTGCCAAGAAAATCCCAAATGGGGTCACAAAGAATCAGACATGACTAAAACTACTGAACAACAACAAAAAATAGGAAATAAGACACAGAAATAATCATTATATTACTAGTGTATATGTATGTGTTTACAGCATCTCAAAATCCTATGAAGGCTTTAATAGCTTAAGGCTTTTAAGTTTTAGTAGCTTAAAAGTGCAGTAAGATTTTTTGGAAAACCTTGTGCATATGTGTATGTGCATGTGTATGTGTATATATATGTATATGTGTGCATACATGTGCTCAGGTGGAAATGCTACAGAGGAAGAATGATTGGGGGAAGGTGATCATGTAAGGAATGTCAGATGAAGTAACTTCGTGGAAGAGGTGGAATTTTAATTAAGCACCTAAGTACGTGTCAAATCAAACTAGGAAGGAACACAAGGGGAAAACAGCTTCTGACAATCAATAAACTTCTCTGGAGAAATTTGCCTTTAAATATATTTCGTTAAATTTTATACATCAGGCAGAAAGGAGGAAGTACTTTGCAAAGGGGGTTGAAAGATTTGAGATATGCGGGGGCAGCTAGGTGGTGCAGTGGATAGAGCACCGGCCCTGAAGTCAGGAGGACCTGAGTTCAAATCTGGCCTCAGACCAAACACTTGACACTTACTAGCTGTGTGACCCTGGGCAAGTCACTTAACCCCAATTGCCTAAAAGCAAATAAATAAATAAACAAATAAATAAATAAATAAAAATTAAAAAAAGGATTTGAAATATGCTAACCAGGGTGTGGAGGCAGCTGGTGACTCAGAGGACAGAGCACTGGGCCTGGAGTCAGGAAGACCTGAATTCAAATGCAGCCTCAGGCACTTCTGGCTGGGTCACAAGGAGTCAGACATGACTGAAAGAGCTGAACAGCCACAAAAACCAGAAAATGAAAGGGAAGGTGAAGGCATTAAAAAGATCCCTGAAGTTTAGGGGGAGTTGTTTGCAGGAATGTAGCCAAAACTGTGAACCTCTGTTAAGTACCTAAAGTGAGAGTAGAGACCTGAAATAATTCTAAAGCTGTCAGCAGGCATTGTTTTCTGAGTGAAAGCCCAAGATAGTGTTATCCATGATTGAAACTTCACAAGGAAGAACTAGTCAAGGTGTAAGACGTTTTCTTCTGGTGGGTTAGAAAAATGTATGCACCAAAGAAATATGGAGAGAAAAAACAAATTAAATGCTAAGAAGGAGATGGGCTTTTCAGCTAATGGTGATTCTGGGTCCTAGCACCACAGTGGATAAAGTTATGGACATCAAATCTGGAAGTCCTGGGTTTGAAGTAGACAAGTTATTTAACTTTTCTGAGCTCCAGTTCTCTCATTGGTAAAATGGAGATAATGATAGCACCTACACCACAGGGTTAATGTGAAGATTAAATGAAATACTGCATGTAAAGTGCTCTGCAAACCTTGAACTACAATATAAATTTTAGCTATTATTGTTACCACAACATATTTAAAAGATATATTCAAATGTATTTGTTTAGTGGTTTCAGTCATGTCAGACTCTTCATGACCCCATTTTGGGTTTTCTTGGCAAAGTTATTGGAGTGGTTTGTCATTTCCTTCTCCAGCTCATTTTACAGAAGAGGAAACTGAATCAAATGACTTACCCAGAGTCACACAGCTAGTGAAGCATCTGAAGCCAGATTTGAACTCAGGAAAATGAATCTTCCTGACTCCAGGCCAGGCACTCTATCCACTGTGCCACCTAGTTGCCCTGAATATTGTATAATGCCCCATAAATGAGCAGTCAAGTAAAGTATTTGTGTATGGTTTGTCTTTTGAGAGATTTTGTTTCTTTTTTCTTCCCCTTTCCCCCTGCCTTTTTTAGACTGCACATGGCAAGTGAAGGCAAATGATAGGAGTTTCCATGAACAGCCCCAGTTTATGAACACAACCTTCTTTTGTTTAAAAGAGAGTAAATATGCGGTAAGTTGGCTTTAGCTTCCAAAAACATCTTTAAAATCTGTGTTTGTTCAGTACCAAATCAGTAAGAGTCTTTACAGTGATCATCTGTAGTTCTATAGAATATTAATTTTTATTCCTCTCACCACTTTTAGTTACCTTAACAAGTAGATAGGTGTAGACTGGTAAAATTCTGTGGGTTAATTTCTGCCTTAATTTCTCTGTAAAGAAGATAACTAATTTATAAAAAACACTTTAAGGATGAAGTACTAGACTTGGGAGTCAGGAAATCAGACATTTATTAGCTGTATGACCTTGGACAAATCACTTAAACTCTCTCAGCCTCGGTTTCCTCCTTTCTAAAATGGAGATAATAATAGAGTTGTTGTGAGGTTCAAATAAGATAATATATTTAAAATATTTTGTAACCTTTAAATATATATATTCTGTATAATATATAAATGCTAAGTATTATCATGGATAATAAATGTAAAATTTGTATTTGAATATCATGTACAATTTGAAAAATATTTTCATTGGGTAGTTATGATTAGATATATCTATTTCTATTATTTTTTCCCTAGTGATGAATTTAGATATTTAGCGGGAGTTTTAAACAGTATAATAACTGTTACATTTCTTCCCTTATTATTGAAATGATACAGTTTGGTGTAGTAGAGCTTTAGACTGGGACATGTTCATTCTAGTCCTAGATCTGATGCTACCTATGTAATGTTGGAGATCAAGGAGGCCTAAGTTTCAAATCCAACCTCAATATTTACTTGTTATGTGTCCTTAAGCAACTTAAGCATCACTTTACTCATCTGATAAGTGAGGATGAATAAGATTATTACTGGCTATCTCTTGAGATTGTTGTGAGGAAAGCACTTTTGAAATTTTAAACACTGTATGAACACAAGTAGTTATTCTCTTTACTGCTAATAATGAGAGGCAACATGGCTTAGTGGATAGAGGGCTGACCTGGGAGTCAGAAATACCTGGGTTCAAGTCCTGTCTTTGACATACACTAGCTGTGTGAAACTGGAAGTGTCTCAGCCTTTTACTACACTGGGCAAATGTCTAAGACAATACATTGCCGAGCAGTTGCATTGGTAGGCAGAATTTCCTTGCCAAGAATTCCCCACACTAATGAAATGTTACTCCTCCAGACCAAAAGAGAAATTATTTATAGCAGTAATATGAAGTTTTGTAGTATTTGACCTTAAAAGTTATATATCTTATTACACAACAGTCCTAACTTTAAGATTTCTGGGTGTCATTTTGCACATGACAGAATTAAAGCAAGTTTAAGAAATCCTACTATCATTCTGGCTGGTAAATGTTGCTTTCACAATTAAAGTAATGATACTAATAAGCTAAACTTTTGTCAGTAGTGTTCTTATACTATTTTATACCTGGGTCAGTATCAGGTTTGGAGAAGCATACATGGTAGTAAATAAGTGGTAATACTTAAAATGATTCTTCTTTTTTCTAGAATAATGCAATTAAAACCTACAAGTACAATGCAGTTACCTTTTTACCAATGAACTTATTTGAGCAGTTCAAGAGGGCTGCCAATTTCTACTTCCTGATCCTCCTTATCTTACAGGTAATAATACTATTTGATATCTTAACTCTCTTATGAGTAATAGTTGGCTCAATAATGTTTAAGTTGTAAAAGGGTGTGAGATGAATGGCTCTGAGACTTTGATATTTTTTCTTTAAGGGAATGGTACCATAGTACCTCAGACACCATAGGAGCCCAAATGATTACTGACTGATTGAAAAAGGGGAGGAAAAGAAATATTTGCACAACTCTCCAATTTTGGCTCCTCTTACTGATAGGAAGATTAAAACCGGTTGTCCTAAAGTTCAACTCAACAAACATTTACTAAGAACCTACCCTGTATGTGTAAGGTTGGATGTTGGAGATACAGACAAAAATAGTTCTCACCTTCAAGAAACTAAGATTCTCCTTAAGGAGATAAGGAGGGCAGCAGGGCTGAGCAAGAAATGATACTTCACCAGAATGATCATATAAGCTAGAGAGGGAAGAGACGATGAGGAAATCCAGACAAAGTTCTCTTTTAGTATTTGAGGAGGGAGGGCCGACATTAAGAACATGACACCTGAGCTGAGCCTCACAAGAGGATTAAGGATTCTTAAAGGTAGAGATGAAAAGTAAGTATATAAATTGTCTAGCACAAAAAACAGATGCTTGCTACACCTGGACTGCTTCCTGCTTTTGAAGTTTCAGTCATGGATTAACAGTGACCTTGGCTTTAATCCATCAAACATCATCCATTGATATTTCTCACATTATCCCAAATCTCCACTGAAGTCTTATTCCAGGGTCTTTTGTGGCATGAAGGTGAATCTGGATTTTAGAAGGCTATGCAAGTTTGGGCATCTCCTAGGAAAGTATAAAGGCCTGGCAACCAACTATATGTCATCTGAAGACCAGGCACACTAGGTTCAGTGATTATCTTCACCGAGGGTTATCCACAAAGGGATGTATTTGTTTTGGCCAGAATAATTCATAAGAATGTCTTCTTAAGTCACAGGAGGCTTACGGTCTGCATCCCTGAATGGATTTTCCATATGAATGAAAACCTAGATCCTGAAGTATTAGTATTTTTAACTCGAGAGTTATAAACCCTCAACTGTGTCCATTTTAGGACTGAAACCAGAACCGCTTTCCTCAGGGCACTGCTAGATGTGACTAACTGCTAAGGAGAATAGCCTGAGGCCTTTGTTGTTATTGTTATATGTTGAGCTTATTATGTTTAATAATTACATATTCCATGCCACATGTTAATTATATACATATGTATGTATGTATATATACATAAGTGTGTATGTATATATATGTGTGTATATATGTATATGTATGTGTATATATATACATATATATATACATATATATGTATATATACGTGTGTGTGTGTGTGTGTGTGTGTGTGTGTGTGTGTATATAGGCAACTAGTAGCATAGTGGATAAGAACACTTGATTTTTGAATCAGAAAAAACAGAGTTCAAATCCAGCCTCAGACACTTACGGTGTGGCTTTGGGCAAATCACTCAAACTCTCTCTACCTTTTTAGTTTCCTTCTCTGTAAAATGGGGATCAAAATAGCACTGATCTCACAGGGTTGTTGTAAGGCTCAAATGAGATATACATGTATAATGCTTTGCAAACTTTAAAGCACTATGTAAGTGCTAACTTTTATGATTATTACTGTGCATATATTATTATTGTTATTTTACAAGGTATCTTAAAAGTCTTAGTGCAATTTTAAGTTTTAATAGGGACTTTTGGAATACCCCATGTAATTATAATGTGTAATATTCATTCTTTTTATTATTATTATTGCTTAGAACTGCAATGACTTTTGAGACAACTTGTATAATGGGTACCAAAAGTGTTTTACTAGAATGTCTTCAAGAATTCAGTTATGAATAATTACTCAAATCAAGTTTCGAATTAAAAAATGAATTCTATAGAAATATCCTATGTTTTACAATACACTTTTTTTAAAGGCAATTCCTCAAATATCTACCTTGGCATGGTATACAACACTTGTGCCTTTACTTCTGGTGCTGGGCATCACTGCAATCAAAGATCTTGTGGATGATGTGGTAAGTTTTTTTTTTGAATACTAAGAATCCTATTGGATATTTTCCGATTATTTTAGTCTATAATTTTTGTAGCAATTTAAATTTTAGGATTATTAAGGTGTCAATTCTCTTTCTTCCTTCTACCTCACCCAAGGCTCGCCATAAAATGGATAAAGAGATAAACAATAGGACATGTGAAGTTATCAAGGATGGCAGGTACTGTAAAAATCATCCTCTTTCTTTTTACTCTATAAGTCTAAATATTTATATTTGATATAGCTGGAGGCTGATGGTAAATAATGATGGCAGATGTACCAATAAGGTTGATTTTTGTGCAAAAGCCTAAAAAAATCAAGGCTTTATATTCAAGGGATCTTGAACCTGTCATAGTAAAAAGCATTAAATATAATGACCATGAAAACAGCACAAAGTAGTCTTTTATGTGTATCAGTCAGTCAGTCAAAAAGCATTTAAGTGCTTACTATTTGCCAGTAGTTTTCACTGGGGATACCAACAAAGGTTTAAGAAAACCAGACTCTACTCTCAAGAAACTCACATTAAGGAGAGGAGTCTAAGTCTGGATAGAAAGTCATCTGCATAGAGATGATGATCAAATCCATAGTAACTGATGAGATCAGTAAGTGAGAGAATATAGAGAGAATCAAGAAGGGAGCCCAGGTCAGAGCTTGGGAAGTCACTCAGAGCTAGCAAAAATGACATAAGAATGAGCGCAAGAGACTGAGGAAGGAGAAGTCAGATCTGTAGGGGAAGAACCAGGAGAGAAAAATATACCAAAAACTTAGAGAGTACGGAAGATCCAGGAAGAGATGGTGATCAGCATTATCAAAGCTCAACAAGGATGAATATTGAGAATTGGCAAGTAAGAGATCATTGATGACTTTGCAGGGAGCAGTTTCAGTTGAATGATGAGTTTGGAAGCCAGATTGCAGAGGATTTAGACCACAGGAAGAGGAAGCACCTAGTGTAAATGATTTGTTAAGGAGTTTAGCCAAGAAGGGGAGGAGAGTTATAGGATGATAGCTAGTAGGGATGGGAGGGTCAAATGGGGGGGTTTTGAGGATCGGGTGAGACATGGGAGTCTTTGTAGTGAACAAGGAAGGACCCATTATATAGAGATTCAAGATAAAAGGTATAATGGGGGCAACCTGCTGGAGAGATTGAGGAAGGGTGGAGTCATGTTTTTATGTGGAGGGTTTGTCCTTGGCAAGAAGGATCACCTCCATCAGAAACTGAAGTGAAGGAGGAGATAGTAGGGTAGGATAGTGGAGTGACATGAGATTAGGAGAGGAGAAAAGAAAGTCCTTTGAAAATGGCCTCAGGTTTTTTTGTTTTGTTTTGTTTTTTGTGAAGCAAGACATGGAAGGAATCATTGGTTTTATGTTTTTGTCTTTTGTGTTACATTTCCACAGTGTCAGATGTTAATGTGAAGATACCTATTAGTAGAAAAGCACATGTTTAGACAACTTTTTCACTGGTTGTGAATCAGTGCATTACAGGTTAACAGGAAGTACAGTCTTTAACATGTGAATGATTGTGTTTGAAAGGTATATTTGTAAGTCATTTATTTAGAACTCAGAATGCATTTTTCTATAGGAAAATTGTTACAAGTGATGATGAGGTTGTGCATTCAAGATGAGATGTACATTTTCAGATATGGCCAATGTGGGAATTTGTTTTGTTTAACTATGCATATTTGTTACAAAAGGTTTTTTCCCTTTTTTTTAATGGGAGGGAGAGGTAGAGAAAGGAAAATGAATGCTTATTAATTGAAAAAAAAGTATTAAAAAGTGGTGATAAGGTTCCCAGACTAGCCCACAAAAGGCCGTTTTTTTAAACTTATATAACTGAAATTCTGTCAAAATAAACACCAACCCTGAGACTACCATCTGATCCTGGGGAGAAAAAGGAAGTTAGAATCTTCAGTGGCAGCTATGAGAGAGAGGGTTTATTTTTGAGTTGTTAATAGATGAAGTATTTATAAGTCAGGGATTGCCTGTAATATGAATTGCTCCCGTATAACCTCAGTGGAATATTAGAAACAATTTAATTAGAAACAAGTGGTAAACGTGGAAGAATTGATTTGTTCATTTTTGTTTTAAAGACTTTCTGAATTCTAACCCAAGACATAAAACATCAAAGTGTTAAGTAGCTGTTTACTTCAATTTAGAATATTCTTTGATCCCCTTTGCTATTTCCAGAATCTCACTCTGCTGACATCTCTCAGCAAACTCTTCTTCTTTGAGGTTCACTCTCTCCAAATTCATTGACAAATCTAGATCCTGTTGGCTGTCCCCTTCAATATTCTCCAACAAGTGTCTCCTACAGTTATCTCTTATCTATCTGTTACCATTGATCTCTCCCTGCTGCCAGCAAACATGCCCAAGTCTTCTCCATCCTTAGCGGGGGGGGGGGGGGGGGGGGGAGAAGAATGACGGCTCTCTCTCTAGAAACTACTATCTTTTTAACTAACATCCAATATCTCTCTTTCTTTTCTCAGCCAAACTTCTAGAAAATTCGCACTTCAATTCCCTCAATTGGGTCTTCCTGCTTCAAGTTTCTCCCTACACCAATGCAACCTTCACTCAGCTGCCAAGGTGTTTTCTCTAAAGTGTAGGTCTATGGCTTTCCCCTACTCATTACTTCTATTTGTATTTCCTTTCCTCTCATTTTCTTCCCAAGCCTTTGTAATTTGGTTATCACCCAACTGAAACTATTCTCTCCAAAGTTACTACTATTCTTCTAGATATTTAGTCCAGTGGCCAAGGTCCTTCGTGACCTCTCTGCAGCATTTAATACTGTTGATCACCCTTTTCTCTTGGATACTTGCTGACCTCCGAGTTTTTGTGATACTGCTTTATCTTGGCTCTCCTCCCATCTGTCCACCACTTATTTCTCTCTCTCTTTTTTTTTTGCTAAATCATAATTGATATCATGATTAGACTCTGTCCTGTGCCCTCTCTTCTTCTCTCTCCATATTATCTCTCATCAGCTCACATGAGTTCTATGATCATCTGTATTCTGATGACTCAGATTTGTGCATCCGGCCCCAGTCCCTTTCCTCAGCTCCAGTTACATATCACCAAATACATATTGGACACTTTGAACTGGATGTTCCATGGACTACTCAATCTCAGCATGTCCAAAACAGAACTCATTTTCTCCCTCCCTCAACCCATCCTTCTTTCAGAATGCCTTATTTGTGTCTAGGTCTCCACTATCCTTTCATTTACTTGGGTCAGCAATCTTGGTGCTATACTTAACACTTCACTCTCACTTCTAATCAGTTGCCTAATCTTGTCATTTCTCTCTGTGGTACCTTTCACATCTGTCCCCATATCTGTACTCATATAACTACTACCCTAGTTCAGGTCCTCATCACCTCTCAGCTGAACTATTGCAGTTGCCTCTTAATTGGGTCTCCCTGCTTCAAATTTCTCCCTACACCATTACAACCTTCATTCAGCTGTCAAAGTGATTTTTCTAAAGTGCAGGTCTATGTCTTTCCCCTACTAAATATACTCTAGTTGTTCTTTATTACCTCTAGAATCAAATGCCTTTGTTTGGCATTTAAAACTCTTTACAACCAGTCCTGACTTTACTTTTTTAGCTTTGTTATGCATTACTCCACTTCATGGTCACCAAGGTCCAACCAAACTGCCCTTACTGTTTTTCACACATGGCACTTGCATTCCCATGACTTTGCAATGGCTGTCCCTCATGCCTAAGATGCATTCCATCTTCCTCTCTGCCTCTTAGAACCCTAACTTCCTTCAAAGTTCAGGTCAAGTACCACTTAATCCATGAAACAATTCCTGATCCCCTCAACTGCTTGTGACTTTCTCCCAAAATTATCTATGTTACATATATTTCATGTTTATCTACATATTATATGTTGCTTTTCCTGTACAGATTGTAAATGCTTTGCAGTTAAATATTCTTTCACTGGTTAAATGAGATATTTGTAAAGTACCTGGCATATAGTAGGCAGTATTTAAATGCTAGCTAATGTCACCATCATCATCATCATCATCATTATTATTCATTATTTTGTCTTTGTGTCACCAGCGGCTGGCATGATCCAGGGCTCATAAAAGATGCTTATTAGCAAATTCTTGTTGATTTCTTATTTAATAGGTAAAATCAAATCAATTAAAGCCAAATTTTAAAAACCCTTAAATTATAGATCATGTTGTAAATCCTAGTTAGAAATATCAACATAATGAGATTTTCTGTTTATGTGCATTTTAGTCAGAAATTAATAATGAAACCACATTTTTGCTTCTAATACTTGGTTCTAGAGTGAACTTGTTAAATTTCATGGGATTCATGAAATATGAATTGTTACTAATCCTCTGTTTCCAAAATTCATACACTGAATTACTGTATATTTAAAAATTCTTCCAAATTCAGACTTATTTGAAATTGAATTTGGAACTTTCTGTGTGGTGCAAGTTTGGAACTGAGAGGGGTTCTGGACTCAGTTTTTGGAATCTAAGCATCTCATGCTTCCTCAGTTCCCACAAATAAAGTATACCCACTCAGATTAGAATAATGGCTGTTTGCTTAAAAAAACAAAGAGCATTTTACTCTCTCAGTAATTGGTTCCCTGAAATCTTTCATTGTTAAGCAGAGGCTCCCTTTGTAGATGGTGGGTCAATAAGAGCTACAGACAACTGTGACTAGATTTGAGTTGCAAAATACTAAAGTTTAAGACAAAACATTCAATACACAAATGGACATTTGGAGTCTACAGTATTGTACCTCAGGTAGTGCTACTAAAATATAAAGGACTGAATTTTAGGTAATTCTTCCTTTAAAGGAGGACCAATCTCTGTTGAGTTGGGTATTCTAGTGTATATATGGCTTATGGCTAGATGAACTTGGTAAGGAACATGAGATTCTAGGTTCAGTGATATTCTAAAGTAGGCAATGGAGGAATCAAGAACGGAAATAAATAGTGGATAGAGCACCAGCCCTGGAGTCAGGAGGACCTGAGTTCAGATCCAGCCTCAGACACTTGACACTTACTAGCTGTGTGACCCTGGGCAAGTCACTTAACTCCATTGCCTAACCAAAACAAAAAACAAAAAAAGAATGGAAACAAATAGTACATCTACTTGCTGGGATAGTCTAGATTAGGAAGAACCTGAAAAGTTGTAGCTCCTTAAAAATCCATCAATAGAGTAGAGGTTCCATAAGCCAATCCTTATTGTGACCCCTTAATTAACACTTTGTTACAGCATCTGAAGATGCCAGCTAAAGGTAAGCTAATATTACTTCCATGATTTCTTATCTCTGTGACACCAATAAAATATATTTTAGTTTAAAACTGAAGATTTTTCCACCATAATTCATAGTGCCCACACATTTCAGAGTTCTAAGTATTCCTAATGCCAATTCTAAGTTGCTTTTCTATATTTTTGATATCATAATTTTATAACATGAATATTTAAATGAATAATTGTTAATATTTCAAATACTATTTTAGGTTCAAAATTGCAAAATGGAAAGAGGTTCAAGTTGGAGATGTCATTCGTCTGAAAAAAAATGACTTCATTCCTGTAAGTGAACAAGTTTTCTTCATTTCATCCAAATTTTCCTGAATCTTTGACCTTTGGTATAGTTTCATTTGATATTTAATATGTTAACTTGTGTTTATTGTTTTGACTAGGCTGACATTCTCCTCCTGTCCAGCTCAGAGCCTAACAGCCTCTGTTATGTAGAAACTGCTGAATTAGATGGGTAAGGATATATCTTTTGAAAGGTCACTTCATTTAAAGCATTGCAGTGCAAATATGGCAGGTTTTTTATATACATATATGCATTTTTACTTACATATACATGTGTATATTGAAATCACCTGTTCCAAGACTGTCATGTGTATTGAAATGGATCTTGAATATGAAGTTGAAAGACCTAGAGTCTAGTTCCAGCTTTGCCACTTTCCAACACTGGGAACTTGGCCAATTTGCTTCCATTTTCCCAATCCTCAGTTGCCTCATCTCTAAAATAAGGTCAGAATCATAGAGTTTGATGGTCCATAGGTCCAATTCCATAGGTTTATGGAATGGACCTCAGCTATCTTGTGATCTAGCCCCTACTACCTGAACAGGAATTCCCCTAAACAATACATACTCAGTAATTAGTCATTTGGCCTCCTCTTACAGATATCCACAGACAAGGAATTGTCTCCTAAAACAGCCCATTCCACTTTTGAACTGATAAATTATTAATAATTTTTCTCATCTATTAAATGAATATTTGCCTTGATGTAACTTTCTTCTTGGCAAATGTAGAACTCTAACCTCATTTGGTCTTCTAACTCTTAAGTTGAGAGGGTATCATGAACAGAGGACCATCCTTGGAGTTAAGAAGATCTGGGTTCAATCCCTACTTCTGATATATACTGGCTGTGTGATTCTGGATTGTCATATAACCTCTTAGTGTCCCAGGCTACTCTTTTAAGACTAAAAATTATAGACAAGTTGCTGATTTTCATGGATGGAGGGAAGTTATTTATTGGGAGTGCTTTATATAAATGAAATCACAGGTCCAGAACCTCTCTCCTCCTCCCCCAAACCCCTTTTTACTCATGACTCCTAGTTTCACCCATGGAAGCCACCCAAAATGAGTATAATTCTCCTTCTACATGATCATTGTCTTCAAATACTTGAAGATAGCTATCAAGTTATCTCTAATTGTTCTGTGTTTCTGGCTACACAACTGCAGATTCTTCAGCTACTGCTCTTTTGACACAATTTTCAGATCCTTAGCCACCCTGGTCACCCTCTTTTACGTGTTGTCCCACACCCTGTTTGAGGGCAGGTACATGCTCTTACAACCTCCTTACTTTTCCTGGGTTTCAGCTACCTCTTGAAAATTTTGGTTCTGTACTTCCTAGTCTGTGGGTCATTTTCCAAAGTAGAGAAAGTGGAAATTAAGAACAGTTCAGCTGCTTTTTCAATCCTCACTGTCTCATCAACATCATCCTGTAATTCTGTCTCTTCATTCAGCTTCCTTTTTGTCCCCAGGACAACCAGAAAAGACTCCCCTTTTCTTAGTGGGATAGTTTATGTCATTATCAAAATTTCATTTTCATTTTTGAGAATATCCTATTTATCTTGAGTTAATTTTCCCTCTAGGCCCTTAGGCATTGAGAACCTATGCTTACTCTGAACTCCGAAGCGCACACCAAATCCTAGAGTGTATGTGGCAATTCCCCTCCTTATCTAGCATCCCATGACCAGTTCCTCTGCTCTTTTTGTTTTTTTGGCTTTTTGATGAGGCAGTCAGGGTTAAGTGACTTGCGCAGGGTCACACAGCTAATAAGTATCAAGCGTCTGAGGCCGGATTTGAACTCAGGTCCTCCTGACTCCACTCTATCCACTGTGCCACCTAGCTGCGCCCCATGACTAGTTCCTCTCAAGGCTCTGGTCACTTTTCCTTCAACAGAAAGATATTCTTTACACATCAGAATGAGATCCAGAATATAACTTCTTTTTGTTGTTTCCTCTGCTTCTTAATGAAGAAACAGTTATTAAAGAAAGTCAAGAATTTCTTAGCTGATCTGCCTTTAGCAGCAAAGAGTCCTAGCACACATCTGTATAGCCAAAATTATTTCTCACTGTTGTGTCTTGCCCTCCTGATGACCAGGATGATGAAGGGCCTTGAGTCCATGTCAACTGGAAATTGCTTGAAGGAACTAGGGATTTACAGTCTGGAAAAGAGAAGACCCAGGAAGGACATGATAAGCTGGCTTCAAGTATTTGAAGGGCTGATAGATGAAAGAAGAATTAGGTTTGTTCTGTTTCACCTCAGGGTAGAACCAGGAACAATGGATGGGAGGTGTAAAGGAGCCACTTTAGGGTAGATGACAGGAGATATTCTAACATTTAAAGCTGTGCAGAAGTGGAACGAGCTGCTGCCAAACAGGCTGTGTAGCAAACGCTCATTTTTTCTCTGTTTTCTGTAGTGCATACTCTGTAGAGAGGGAGTCTTCCTGAGCACGGGAGAGGCTGAGGTGACCTGTCCACTTCACTCTGTAAACCTGTCTCATTTTTTTTAGTTATTTGTAAATTAATACTTTATTGTTGGGTTGCTCCTCCTTGGAGATCCGTCTACAAGCAGAGGCTGGAAAACCATTCACCAAGACATTACAGTGGAGATGTTTTTCAGGTGTGGATTGAATAAAATGGCTGCTAAGGTCCCTTCCAATATTAAATCCTGTGATTCTGGAGGATCAAATGAGATAGCATATGTGGATAATTTCACTTTTTAGTAATTGAGTAGAAATCTTTTGAAAAAGATACTCCTTGGTGGGGCAGCTAGGTGGTGCAGTGGATAGAGCTCCAGCCTTGGAGTTGGGAGGACCTGAGTTCAAATCCGGCTTCAGACATTTGACACTTACTAGCTGGGTGACCCTGGACAAAGTAATTTAACCCCAATTACCTCACCAAAAAGCAACTAATTAATGAATTAATTAATTAATTAATGCTGGCTAAGCTCTTTAAAAAGAAAAACAGAAAAAGATGCTTATAAACATGAAGAAGGTTCTCATGACCTACCTATTAAAATATATTAAGGCCAATCAGCCACCTGCTTAATAGGCAGAATTAAATGAGTTAATATTTGTGGAAACTTTGAAACAAAATCCTTTATGAGATGTTGCTAGAAGGTAAAAAGCATATTTCATTGCAAAGTTGTGTGGACCTATGCCTTTTCCATATGTTTTTAGTGCCTTTCCCAGCTTTCAGAATATATTATATTTTGGTTTGGTGTAAATATGAAGGAAAATGTGAAGTCAGGTGAAATGAGCCCCCCCAAAATTATTTCATTTCTAATTATGATAGGAAATCATTGAGTTTCATTTTTTATAATAGAGCCAAACAAGCCCCATCCCAATTGCATACCTAATAAATGTGACAAAATGTTAAAAGTTTAGTTTAAAAGGGATCCTCAGCATTTGGGATAAATAGAAGAAACAGCAGGCTTCATCAACCAAGCAGGTAGGTGGTAGAGAGAAAGTTGCAGCTGACTAACTGGTGAGTCTGGTGAGTTGATAGTTTGAAATGTTCAAATGTTTGTCCATATATTAGCCCAGAGAAAGCTATTTACAAAGGGAATCAGGTATTAGTATGCCAAAGATTTGGCTCCAGTTCAGTGAACCATTTACTTCTCCTCTCTCCAAAGCTTCCAATTAAAATGGGAATTAGAAAATAGGACCAGACCTAGGGTACATGACCATGTAAGCCGCTGGAAATCTACCAGTTAAGAGTATTAGTTACTGATTCATAACACAGAAAGAATATGACTAAGTAATAAAGTAACGTCAGGTTTAAATGATTTTTTACTGCTGTTTTCCTTTGTGAGTGTATCTGCATTTAAATGACCAATTTGGTCCAACTAAGTGTTTTTGTTTGTTTTAATTTTTCCCTCTAGAGAAACAAATTTGAAGTTCAAAATGTCGCTTGAAGTAACAGATCGCTATCTCCAAAAAGAGAGTGCATTGGCAGCATTTGATGGTTTGTACAAAATAGTTCTTCTGGCTGCGATTTTGATAGCTAGCTACTATTTCTAAAATTTCCAAAAATAATCACTTTTGTACAAAATGCTACATTTAAACATTTGCATAGATTGAAATTTTTCCCTTCAATCTAGGTTTCATTGAATGTGAAGAACCGAATAACCGACTAGATAAGTTTACAGGAACACTATTCTGGAGAAACACAAGTTACTCTTTGGATGCAGATAAAATTTTGCTGCGAGGCTGTGTGATTAGAAATACTGATTTTTGCCATGGCTTGGTCATTTTTGCAGGTACTTTATTTTCTCATGTCATTAAGAACCTGGAGTGAATAATAGAAATGAAGCACAAGCTATTTCCTCCCTGCCTATTCAACATCAAAAACATAAGAATGAGCACATATGTAACTTATTTTTCATATTTTGATCGCATTGAATTTTGGGTGTTTTCAGGAGCTGACACCAAAATCATGAAAAACAGTGGGAAGACCAGGTTTAAAAGGACTAAAATTGATGACTTGATGAACTACATGGTTTATACGGTAAAATATTTTTATTTCATTGCGCAAAAAGCTAGCTTGTTATACTAGTAATTTAAAAAACAATATTTAGAAATGAAAAGATCATTGAGTTTTGGGTCAGAGGACTTTGTTCCATACTCCCTCTCTGCCACTTGCTATCAGGGTGAGCTTAGAGGAGTTAACTTCACCTCTCCACTCCAGTTTCCTTATCTACAAAATGAGGAGATTGGGCTTAAAAACCTCTAAGATTCTTTTAGTTCTCAACATATTATTCTTTGGAGAAGAAGTTCTGTGATATGGGAGTTCACCCTGTTTCATAATCTACCCTGTACATCTTAGTAGATGAGACAGTAGGTAGTCTTCATGAGTTGCCATGGCCAAAAAAAATTCATTATCTGTTGACCAGCCTCCTTCTTAGGAGCCTGTCTAAACTTAGTACAGACAATATTGGACCTTTAATAATGAATAATAACTAGCATTTATATAGCACCTAGAATGTGCCAGATACTGTGCTAAGCACTTTACCAAATTAGCTCATTTAATCCTCACAACAACCCTGGGAGGTAGGTGCTATTATTATCCACATTTTACAATTGAAGAAACTGGGGTAGATAGAGGATAGGTGACTTACTCAGAGTCACACAACTAGTAAATATCTGAGGCTGGGTTTGAAATCAGGTCTGTCTGAATCCAGGTCCAGAGCTCTATTCTCTGTACTATCTAGATGCCCTTTCCACCAAACCTTTCCATACTGGAAAGAATTTATGCCTCATGGGTATAGCTTTTGAGAATCTAGGGTCACTTCTATTAGTGCAGGATTATATTTCAGTAAATTTCTGTTTATAGGAGTGGATATATGGCTCAGTGGATAGTATGCTGGGCCTGGAGTCAGGAAAGCCCGAGTTCAAATCTGGCCTCAGATACATACTAGCTGTGTGACCCTGGGCAAATCATTTAACCTCTGTTTGCCTTAATCCACTGGAGAGTGAAATGGCAAACCATTTCAGTATCTTTGCCAAGAAAATCCCATGTGGGGCAGCTAGGTGAAGTGGATAGAGCACTGGCCCTGGAGTCAGAAGGATCTGAGTTCAAATTCAGCCTCTGACCAAACACTTGACACTTACTAGCTGTGTGATCCTAGGCAAGTCACTTAACCCCAATTGCCTAAAAAAAAAAATCGCATGGACAGTATGGTCTGTGGGGTCACAAAGGGTCAAACATGCCTAAACAACTGATCAACAACAAAGTTTTGTTAATAATAATTTTTGCAGACAATTTTTTGGGGGGAGTGCAAATCAGATACTATTAACAATCATTAAAGAAACCAAGTGAAACCTTAAAGGAAAGTGTTCTGGTACTGTTTTACGTATTTTTGTTAGTGTGTACAGATGTTTCAAACATTTATAAATAAGGGAATAAGCAAAGCTTTTTAAGTAGACAGGACTAGGAATCTAGCCTGGTCCCACTCTGGTCAAAGAAAGATCCGAGTAATACGTGTAAAAATGTTTCACTTTCTAGATTTTTGTTGTCCTTATACTCCTTTCTGCTGGTCTAGCTATTGGACATGCTTACTGGGAAGCACAGGTTGGTAATTATTCTTGGTACCTATATGATGGAGAAGACTATACGCCTTCATATCGTGGATTCCTTAATTTCTGGGGCTACATCATCATTCTGAACACCATGGTACCCATCTCCCTCTATGTCAGGTAATGAAGTTTCCTTTTTTATTTCTTGCTTTAAGCTTAATGAGAAAGTATACAACTCATTATTAAATGGACATTTATACTAATTTACTTATGCTCTCTCATGAGATAGAAAAAACATTTTCCCCCTATGAAAAATCTCCCAATATGTTGAGCTTTGAAGTATATTCCGAGCACACCATGGTAAGGGCTAAGGAAGATAGATAGAATACAGTTCTCTAAAAAAAAATTACATCCTAGGGGTATGTGGCATAGTACACATTGCAGCAAGATGGGTGTACACAGTATTTGATGAAAGAGAAAGAGACCCAAACAGAAAAAGACACATACACACAGAGAGACAGAATAAGAGAATGAATCCAATGAAATGTTTCTTCACTTTATGAGGAGAATACATGAATTTCTGTTTTTCTGGAATTGATTTTTCCCTCTTTGTCAGCAATTTTAGAGACATCCTTTTCCTAGCCACTGATGGTTCTGAACGTTTTCTTGTTTCTATGTAATACATACTTAAAATTCTAGACTCTGTAAACTTTTTAAAAATTCCCTTACTGTCTCTTATTTCAGATATTTTAACTTTGGCAACACTAGTTTCAAAGGAACTTTCCTTTTCAGCTCATCAATCATTGTTTGGCTTTACTTATCCCAAGGCATTTAAACCTCCTGGAAATGCATACTTTAGGTATGCTTTCTGGCTCTGCGATATGATCAGCTCTATTTTGCTCACCCCATCTGAGTTGAGGAATGGGTTGTCCCTAGATAAATTGTCTTAGATACAGTTTAAGAGAAGGGAGAAGGAGTAGTGATCGTCATTCCTTCCAGTAATACTCTGATGATGGCATTTCTTTGTTGAATCTATATGACACTAAGTTGGAGGAAAATGAAAGTTATTGCCGTATAGCTAATCAGTCAATCAATCAGAAAGGATCTATTGAGTGCCTACCATCTGCTAAGCAATATACTTGTGTGACGGATACAAAGGCAAGAATAAAACAATTCCTATCGCCAGAGAGTTCACAGTCTACTAGGGGGAAACACTATGTACATACACCATTTTGTTAATAAGATTTTTTTAAGCACTTATTATGTGCCTCACATATACATGCCAAGTGCTGGTGATGCAAATAAATTTCTGTCCTCATGGAGCTTACATTCTAATGGGGAAACAATATATAAATAAACACATGTAAGATATGTACAAATATACAGAATAAATTAAGGTAATCAGGGATGAAATAAGCAGCTACGAGATCAGGAGAAGTTTGATAGAGAAGGGGGTGTTTGAACTGAGTTCTGGAAGTAATAAGAGATTCAAATAAGTGTAATTCAGGCAATGGGGGACAGCCAACTAACTCACTGAGATGAAAGATGGAGTACTTAGTATGAGGAATAGCCAGAAGACCATAGGAGAGGAGATGGAAGCTTGAACCAGGCTGGCACATGTGTGAGGAGAAAGAAAGAGACCAATGAGTAAGATGTTCTGGAGATAGAAAAGAGAGAAGAAAACCAAGTGTCTGAAGTTTGTATTTGAGCAATCCAATGAGAGTCCTTTCTTTCTTTCTTTCTTTCTTTCTTTCTTTCTTTCTTTCTTTCTTTCTTTCTTTCTTTCTTTCTTTCTTTCTTTCTAGTGTTGAAATCATTCGTCTTGGACAGAGTTATTTCATAAACTGGGACCTACAAATGTATTATCCTGAGAAGGACACACCAGCAAAGGCTAGAACAACCACGCTGAATGAACAGCTTGGGCAGATTCATTACGTTTTCTCTGATAAGACAGGAACATTAACCCAGAATATCATGACGTTTAAAAAGTGCTGCATAAACGGGCAAATATATGGTGAGTATTAGCCATTATTTCACTGAACATTGTATTATGGATAGGGCTCTAGGCGGCACTGGATGTAGTTAATAATAGCTGGCATTTAGGTAGTGCTGTGGCATGTTATCTCAGTTGATCCTCACAACAACCCTAGGAGGTAGGTGGTGTTATTATCATAATTCTACAAATGGGGAAACTGAGGCTGAAAGAGAGTAAGTGACTTACCTAGTGTCACACAGTAAGTGTCTGAGGCCAGATTTGAACTCAGATCTTCCTGACTCCAAGACTAATGTTCTTACCTACTGGACCACCTAAATGCTTCTATACAGAGTAACATAAGGGATAAGAGAAAACTTGGTAGTAACATGATCTCTTTCTTGCTCTGAGTTTTAGCAACCACCCAGGAATATGATGCCATTCACTGGCAGGTAAAAGGAGTAAGTAGGTGGTTAAATTTAGTTAATGATGTAACACAATACCCCAAGTTTGCATATAGGTTTAAACTTTTCAAAGCACTTTTATACAATTCAGTAATCCTGAAAAGTAGGTAGGACAGATATTCCCATTTTACAGATAAGTAAACTAAAATAAAAAGAAGTCAAGTGATTTGCCCAAAGGCATGCAGCTTATGAGTAGCGAAGCTGAGACTCTTATGACCTGTGTATCCAGTCTCATAGAGTAGGGCTATTTCTGTTATACTACCTTGCATTCTATGGCCAATGCATTAGACTGAACAAAGTCTTGTGATGTTATTTTGAAAAATGTGATCCTCCAAGAAGGTTATAATTTAATGAAACAGAAGAAACAGAAGCACATTTATAAACTAGCAAAGCCATAAAACATACATAAAACACATCTTTAAAAATGGGAAAAATATATATTTTTTGCACACAAGTATTCACTTACCTTGTGATTTTAATACTTGCTTTTATTTCAGGGGACCACAGAAATGCATCCCAGCATCACCACAGCAGGACAGATGTAAGTTCTTTTACTTCCTTCAAGGAAGGATTGTTTGTTGGTGACATTTTTCCTGGGAACAGATATTAGCTTAAGAACATTTCTGTGTGTTTAAAAATACATTTAAATTACACAATGATTGTTTTCTAGGCAAAAAAAAAGGTAGCTCAGAATGAAACTTTAAGCTTCGTTGAAGCTCTTAGCCTGGCATTTTCACATTCAGCATTTTTTCTTCCTTCTCCCCAGGAAGTCGATTTTAGTTGGAATACGTATGCAGATGGAAAGCTTGTGTTTTATGACCATTATCTGATTGAACAAATCCAGTCAGGGAAAGAGTCTGAAGTTCGACAGTTCTTCTTTTTGCTTGCAATTTGTCACACTGTCATGGTGGATAGGTCTGATGGTAAGTAAGCATTTCACTGGCATAAAAAAAAGAAGAGCCTGAAAATTTATCATCTACTCTGCAGACCTCATATTGAAGATTTAATTGCATATAACTGTCATACAGAGCAAATATCTCAAGAGTTTAATCAAAAATAATGATTGAGCTTTCACTCTCTATATAAGGTATAAAGGATTCCAAGAAATATATGATTTCAGCCTTTGAGCTTAAAATATAGCATCTTCTTCAAACCTTCATTTCCAAGTAAGGTTAGATTTAAGAACTATTTTAGAATTATGACTACTAGTTGTCTAAGATCACATTAGAAAATTTAAAATGTACTCTTAAAATTATCCATCATTGACAAATGGTAGCTTTTTGAAATCCTTAGATATAGATATGATAATATAGAGCCCTGGTGTGAGGAAAGGAGTGAAACCAGTCCCATTGCCTCTCTATTCTTAGGGATAAGCTGTGTCCATTTGTAAAATATTCTCGCTTTCATGCTTTAATCAATATAGCCAACAAAAACACTTCAGTATTTATTTGTCACTGATTTAATTTATCTGCAATGGGGCATAAATCGTGTGGGAAGAAATGTTTAAATACCAAATAAATAGGAACAGGGTGTGGTATCATTCCATAAATTACAAAGTAAACCATTTTTCTAGACTGAATTTACAGAGTCTAATAAAAACTGTTCAGAGTTCAAATTGAGGTCGAGAAATGGAAAGGGTTATTGAGGAATGATGCAAACGGATGATACCAGCTCAGTCATAGAAGGAGAGGTTAAAATCTGTTTGACTGGCCGAGGGATATCTCATTACGGAATAAGGACAAAGTACAATGTCATAAAGCCACCTGGCACTCTGGCTTTGGATAATTGATGATACTTAAACACACACACACACACACACACACACACACGCACCTACATGGAGTTTCCTCCATGGTGCTCATCATTTATTCTCAAAGGAAGTACATAGTTCTGTGAGGAGGAGGGCAGAGGTCTCTCCCATGGTTTATACTAAATTCTCTAGGGTCTTTGCATAGTGAAATTAGAGGCTTGAGTAGATAGGAATAGTATTTTTCGCTCATTTCAAACTCAACGTTTTCTATAATGAATTCATTATCTTTCATCCAAATTCTGTAATTCTTAGATTTCCTGTTTCTGTTGATGATACAACCACTCTATCACACTGAAAAAATCTGGAGTCAGTGTGATATAATAGAAAGAGCACTGGATTTGGAGTTAGCGAATTTGAGTTCAAATCTTAACTCTACCTTTTACTACCTTGCGACTTTGGGCAGATCACTTGACCTCTACGGGCTTCAGTTTGCTGAGCTATAAATTGAGGAGTTTGGACTAGATCAGGGATCTCCAAAAGTGGGGGGTCATGACACGTGTGTGACCAACCCATCAGAAATTGAGAAGATCACCTGGAAGACTCTTTCTAGCTCACAGCTGATGATCTTAAGATCTTTGACTCTTGATTCTACCTCAATCCCCACATCCAATAATCTAGAAAGTCCCTTTTACCTTCACAGTGTCTCTTGCCTCTGACTAAAAGCATTTCTGGTTTTTAGTGTTGTTGCTTCCTTGATTTTGAACTTATCAATTCTCTCCAGAACTACCTTAATACTGCTAGTTATCTTATCTCTTAATTCTCCATACCTTATTCTGTCTTTCACATTGCTGTTAGAATCACCTTTCTCTAGTACAGATCTGAGCACAGCACTCCCTACTTTACAACTAGGACCTTCACGTCAGCACCAACCCCAGCTTATCTTTCCAACCTTAACAAATACTAAATACCTTCGAGTATTCCAGGTTTCAGACCAACTAGAATATTCACCAACCCCCCAATCCCTTACTGCCATGTCAGTCAGGCAACTAGTATTTACTAAACATCTACTACATGCCAGGCACTGTGCTAAGTTTCTTTTTTGCTTGTTATCTTTATTCTTGCAATGATTTCTCCTCATATGACTGCCTGTTGAAATTCTTCCCTTCTTTCAAGATCAAAATCTGGAGCCATCCCTTTCATCAAACCTTCCCTGTTGCTTTAAACTATAAGCTATTTCTCCATTCTAAATCTGAACTTTAATTAAATTCAGTAGAAATTCATTAAACGCCTGCACATATGCAAGGCATTAGAGATACTACAGTCATCCCTTCCACATCAAGATTTTCCCTGTCACAATTTTGACATACTGTGGGGAACTTTTTAGGAGTTTTGTAGAAGCCGCAGATGGCTAATTGATGGTAATATCAAAATAAGTCTGCCACAAGGTATGAGAATTATATTCTTTTTGACTGGAATCCTGGTTCTGGAGGTAGACAATTTTCCCGTATGTTTCAGTTCTTTCATTTGAAAGAGAGAGATAAGCAATTACTCGTTTTCCCTGAGGCATGAATCAATATTCCTATTGGAATCCAAGCCCTCTGAAAATCAGGATCAGATGTCGGCTGAGTCATACTTTACTAAATATGATAATACAGCTACTTGCACTTAAGAGCCCTCAACAAGTTCTTGGTGATATTTTTTTTAAAAAGCATACAAACTTGGTATGAAACATTTCATTTAACTGATAGCTGACCCATGCCTCTATCTGTACATGCATTCGTTCACCTCTGACATATCTTCTGGCTTCTCCACCCATACTCTTGAATTGTCTTTCTCTTTCTTATTATCTGTCTTACTGTGTCTCCATCTCATTGTCTCTCTCTTTGCCTCTGTCTTATTCTCTCAATATTTCATTCTAGGGCAAATCAACTACCAGGCAGCTTCTCCAGATGAAGGGGCTCTAGTCACTGCTGCCCGCAACTTTGGTTTTGCCTTCCTTGCAAGGACACAGAACACGATCACGATAAGTGAGATGGGAATAGAGAGGACATACAATGTTCTGGCAATCTTAGATTTTAACAGTGATCGAAAGAGAATGTCTGTAATTGGTAAGTCTTACTCAAAACCTTTTACTCAAAGGATTACTTTTAACATTCTATAATAACTAATTTATGTACCTATAGTCTAATTCAGCTTGATTCCATGGTAAAAACATTTGATGAACTAATTGTTTGACTCAGGGGAAATTTCAAGTCTTCTCCTTGAACAGGTTAAGTTTATATTTTTTCCTTCATTCTTGAACTTTCTAAGACACTAAGTTGCAGAGAAGTTTCTGACCTGTTTTGGGAGAGATTTTCCTCATCTGGGAATTTCCCATATCAGTGCAAGTCCAGTTGCTTTTCCCATCTTGTGTATTACATGGACCTCATTTACATTGACAGCTACAGGATATAAGGTATTCAGTTTAGTCTGTTGGATATTCTTTGTAGTAAACAGATTCAGCACCCTGGGTATTGGCCTTGGGCACGTAAGATGATGCATAGAAAGAGAACGCAATATTTTAAGATGTGATTACCACCATAAATGCCATGTTGGAGGTAGCCTCTGGGCTCTATATTTATATTTAAACATAAATATTTATATTCCACTCCTTACAAGGGAAGGTCAAAAAAGCAAAGGAGTTCTGCTTGGGAACAAAATTTGATTGGGAATCAAAAAGTACATCTCACACTGGAGAAATGGTGCTTTGCAAGAGAAAGACTACTAAGCAGAGAACAGAATCAATAAATCAGCAAAATGTATTGAGCACCCACTATGTGTGAGGCATTGTGCTAGGCACTGGGGATCCATAAAGTGAAACTAGGAAGTCCCTGCCTTCAACAAGTTTACATTCTATCAAGAGAGACCTGTACATATGTAAATATATGCAAAATAAATACAAAGGAGTTAGAGAGGAAGGAAACTCAAATGGGTCAAACACCACATCTCCACTTATCTTAGAGATACTGAATTAATATCCCCAGAATCCTCTCTTCTTGTTTTATCACCTCCACTTATCTTATAGATATTGAATTAATATCCCCAGAATCCTCTCTTCTTGTTTTATCACCTCCACTTATCTTATAGATATTGAATTACTATCCCCAGAATCCTCTCTTCTTGTTTAATTTTTTATGAAAGTAAAAGTTCTAAACAATCAAATCTAATCATGTAGTGATTTAGTTATTCATAAGTACCTATAGAGTACTGATCATCTGATGAACTTGGTTGTCGACACTGTGGCAACACAGAACAAATAAAGTTCTTGAACTCTGTCATTAATTAACTTAGATTTATTTGCAGAAATAGGACACTCATAGAAAGTTAATGCGATATAACAATAAAAGATATCATAAGACAGTAAATGATAATCCCAAATGATTGATGCAAATAAGTTCGTAGTAATCACCCTGTTCTGGTATAGTTAAGGAGAACTTCAATTTGAGTCCTGAAAAATGGCAAAGCATCTATCACATTCACTTTATTAGTTGTGTCCTATTTATTTAAATGGTTTGCTCAATTCTTTGTGGGCAAAAGTCTTTGATCATTATAACAGATTGACAATTCTTTAAAAGTCATTATGAATGGTGTTACCCTTAGAAGATGCTTTCTAATAGTGACAATCCAATGAAATGTTAAGCTTGCCTCAAAGAACATAGCTAAATGCTTTATTTTCTTTTTCATTAATAGTAAGAACACCGGAAGGTCATGTTAGACTTTATTGTAAAGGTGCTGACACTGTTATTTATGAACGGCTGCATCCAATGAATCCTACCAAACAGGAAACACAGGATGCCCTGGATGTAAGTCTTGTTTTTTATCTTGATTTCATAAATTTAAGTGGTCAAGTTAAACTTCAACTAATACGTCAGTCGTTCAACATTGTCTAGTGGAAGAAGCATCAAAGAGAAGAAAATGTTAAGTTTTGTCCCTGTCATTATAGTAATAGGGCATATGTCTGTTGATAGAGGACACCTTTGTTTGCTGTTGTCACATGATAAGTGGAATCAATGTGTTAATCCAGCATGGTAACTCAAATTGCCAAGTGACTTTAAATGAGTTAACTTCACTGCATCTCAGTTCCTAAGGCAAAATAGGATTAACACCACTTCTATTTCACTCACCCCAGGTGTAGTTTACCAAGACAACATATATGCATTGACTATAAGTCAATGAGGCTGATTTTTTTTTAATCATCATATCAGAATTCATCCAAATGGATGTTGTTCCCCCAAAGTAGTCATCCTAAAAGACTGTATACTTACTTTATTGATGCTACCACTGCCCTCAAACATTTTTGAAAGCTCTTCTTTGGAATTGCATGTTTTTATTATCTGTGGTGGTTGCAAGTTTTGTTTGGTTTTTTTTTAAATAGACAAAAGTCATTCATGGCCAACTCTGGAGAATAAGGTTGGAGATTAAACTAGATAGACAATCTTAAAAGTAAGAAGGGACCATCTAGTCCAACCTCCCAACCATGAAAGGAATATCTTATATAAAGTCATTGAGTGGTAGTCATTCTGCCTCTGGTTGATGGGGAATTCACTATTTAAAGAGAAAGCATATTCCATTTTCCTAGTGTTCTTTATATATACATATATATACACACATATATATGTATATATATATATTTCCCCCAATTACATGTAAAAAAATTTAACGTTAGTATTTTTTTGTTTTGAGTTCTGAATTCTATCCATCCATCCCTTCTCTTCCCCCTCTCTTAGACAGTAAGCAATCTGATGTAGGTTATACAAATACACTCATGTAGAACATTTCCATTGAAGTCATTTTTTTCTTTTGTTAGTCATTTTATTTGCTTTTTTTTTAGGTCGAGTTTTCATACTGTTCTAATAGTTAAAAAGGTCTTCCATATAACTTTTGGGCATGAGTAAATTGTAGACTGGAAGTCCATTATTGATTAAGCTCATACTGCATCAAATACTGTGCTAGGTACTGGGGATATAAAAACATGAAACAAGACACAAACCATGCCTTTAGATATAGCAGGTCGGCCATAAGAAAAATATATCAATTCACCTTCTCTTCTCTAAGTGAAATATTCCCAGTATCTGGGACATTTTTCATATAAGAATTTCCAGATCCTTCATCACTCTGGGCACCTTTTAAAAAAAAATACACTCTAACATAAATTATGGTGAATTGGGGGATTTTTTATCAGAGTAGGGAATGCCTCTATCCCTCCTTAACATGTCGTGCCCAAAATTGGCATAATATTCTTGTTGTGATTTGACCAGTACAGAATACTATGATACCTCTATGATGTAGACACTGTATTTCTCAATGTTTCTGGATTTCAAATGTTTGTAGTCAATAAAATTTTATCTATTTCTTTTGATTAACTTGTGATTATAAAACCATTTGAGGTTCCTAAGCTGTAATTTAAAGGACTTCTGAAATTTTGGGATTAATGGTAGCTTTGTTGGAATAATTATGTAAATTCTCAAAGTGACTAACTACTTTGAAGGAGGACAGTTCTTTGGATGAATAATCTGTGGTGTACAAATTAAAAAATAATCCTTAATTCAACATTACATCACACATCAGAGTGTTTTGAAAAAGTTGATAACCGTTAATATTAGCAACATCTTTACACAACATCCTTGAATATTCAGCTCTTTAAATTGAGTTCAGCTGAGGATTGTATGTAAATGAACTTTTTTTATATAATTCACATTCAAAGCAATAATGATTCTGATCTCTTCATGATGGAAAAGTTTCTGGAATATTTTTTCCTTCCAGTTTTACTGTAGGGAAGACTCAAATAATGGCTTCATATTTGGTTTGAGGGAATGTCATTTGGTTTGGAGTCCAGATATGGCTGGTTTTCTTGTGGGTTTTATGGGAATACATTGCCAAAGTTGTCAAGATTTTTCTCTAAAACATCATTTTGCCACTAAGTATTGTTGTAAATTTTTGGTGTTCAGTTTAGTGGAAGTCATGGTTTATTATGTGATAGGATTTTTTTTTGTTCAGGAATATATCTTTATGACAAATTTTCAATAGAATTATTTTAGTATTTTGTTTTTTCACTTCAAAGTTTTCTTTAGCTAATTTGAATGATGAAAGAATGTTGGGTCCTGAGGAGTTTCTGTTTAAAATAAAAATGTCAAGTATATGGCAGTTTTAAAAGTGAAGTAAATTTTGAGACATGCTTAATCTCATCTACTATCTAGTTTGTACATCATCCATATTCTTAATAAAATCACCACTTGAATTCACTTCATTACTGCCATGTAATATTTCAAATATTCTCAAATAAATTAATTATTTGTGTCTTTTTAAATAAAAACAGATCTTTGCAAATGAGACACTTAGAACATTGTGCCTTTGCTATAAAGAAATTAGTGAAAAAGAGTATGCAGAATGGAATAAAAAATTCATGGCTGCCAGTATTGTCACGACTAATCGCGATGAAGCCCTAGATAGAGTTTATGAAGAAATTGAAAAAGATCTAATTGTGAGTATTAACTTTAGTAGTTTTTCCTATTCTTATAATTACAATAAAGGTAGTTCTCATAATCAAACCATTCATTTTCTGTTCAGTATGTGAGGAGAAGGGATCATTTCAACAACTTGAAAATGATGGGATGGGGCAGCTAGGTGGCGCAGTGGATAGACCACTGACCCTGGATTCAGGAGGACCTGAGTTCAAATATGGCCTCAGACACTTGACAAATACTAGCTGTGTGACCTTGGGCAAGTCCCTTACCCCCATTGCCTAGCTAACAAAAAATGAAAAGAAAAGAAAATGATGGGATGGAAGTAGTACATTTAAGTTCAGTTGCTATCATCAAGGAAAGAGTAAAATTCCTGAGCTAATTAGGGAATGAGGAGGGCACTAATCTGATAGCTGCACTATGTTTTTCTTCAAACATATTTTAAAATACTATTTAATCTATATTTTTTTAAAATACAAAATAAAATATCTATTAAAATTGAATTTTTACATAAAATAAGATGTGCTTCTTATTACATGAATGTTATTGCATGAGTGGCAAGGTTTTTATTCTTGCAAATCAACTTGAACGCTAGAAACTAATATTGTTTATGATTGAGATTTTAATTTATGGTGACTGATGATGGTAAGTATGATATTTATGGTATTTGTTTTACCATCCTAAGGCTAGTATATAATATATATTAATTATTTTTAATGTTCAGAGAATTTGGTAATTCCAGTTAAACTATGGTAGCATAATTTTTACTTGATATATATGTTATGATTGTCATCATTATTATATTTCATGCATTTGTCTTTTAGTCATTAAATGAAATTGTTCATATGGCAATGAAAGTAATGTGTATGTGTTTGTGTGTGTGTGTGTGTGTGTGTGTGTGTGTGTGTGTGTGTGTGTAATTTACCATGAACACAGAGTATTAGCCAGCTTTTTGGTTGATATCAGATGTTGGCCCACTCTTGAACATTGAGCTAATGCTAATGTACATAATTCTTAATTCATGCATGCTTTGATGCTTTTTACATTCAATCATGTTATTTCTGTTTGTTCCTGAACAATTATTTTTGGATACTACAGTTGCTGGGAGCTACAGCTATTGAAGACAAACTACAAGATGGTGTCCCAGAAACCATTTCAAAACTTGCAAAAGCAGACATTAAGATCTGGGTGCTTACTGGGGACAAGAAAGGTAAATTATTGTGTATAGAAGTGAATTTACGAATTCAGCATCTAATTTATGACTGATGCCTTTCACTTTACTGTATCATGTCTATATCAGTTCTCTGAAACTTAGAGTGATCCCTAGGTATTCCAGCCCATACTCATCACTCCCTTTTCTTAACTCCCAACACCTCATCTGTACTGCACAGTTCAGCACATGATACCTACTGCTGTAATAGGGCTTCTTCAGATTTTCTCTGTTTCTTTCTTGCTGATCACCCCACCAGTGTGCTAGCTCAGTACTTAGTAGCTTTGGCGATGATGAAGCAAACATCTCATTTGCCAATAAGCATGAAGAGCTAAATAATTTTTTAAAAGGGAATGAAAAGGGAGTTTATTACTACTTTTAAAAAGGGAGTTATTCTGGGGGGGTGGAGCCAAGATTGCGGAGTGAAAGCAGTGACTTGCTTGAGCTCTCCCCCAAACCCCTCCAAATACTCATAAAAAATGGCTCTAAACAAATTCTGAAGCAGCAGAACCCACAAAAAGACAGAGTGAAACAAATTTCCAGCCCAAGACAACCTGGATGATTGATCAGAAAGGTGTATCGCACCGGGCTGGGAGCACAGTGCAGCGTGGGTGCGCAGGCCACAGCAAACCTGGAGCAGGCCTCAGGGGACTGAATTGCGGGCAGCTGTGGAGGTTTCCAGACTCCTCAATCCACGAATGCCAAAGACAACTTAGAAGGTCAGTGGGAAAAGTCTGTTTCTGTCGGTGGTCAGAGAGGAAGGCGGGGTTTCAGCTCCATTCCCCAAGAGCGTGGCCCTGGGGGGGTGGGCAGCTGCTTCCCGAGCTTCTGGCCCACAGACTGAAGGGGAATCCAGTGGCTGATCAGAGAGGGGCTGCAAGGATCTCTTTGACAGTGCTGAGGCAGGAATCTCTTGCTTTGCCCGTGTGTGGATCTGGGTCACAGTTCTGGGCGGCAGTGCTGGGGTGAGGAGGAGCCAGCAGCTGGCGTGGTGGAGCTTGTAGTGGCTGTGGAGAGGAGCCCCTCCTCACAGTTATGGGACAGAAAGGAATACTTGTGGTCACAGGCCAGGAAAGGAGTAAACACCTCACCCCTTATCATACCACCTTGGAAGAACTGAAAATTTACAGGTCCCTACAAGTATCTCTGAAAACAGCTATACAAACCCCTGAAGCTTGGGACAGTACACTCTCCACATTGGAAGCAGACTCTTACCTTAACAAAGAGTTTAAAACTCAAGTAATTGGCTGGGATCATGAGCAAGCAGCGCAAAAAGAGTCAGACTATATTATCTTACTTTGGTGATAAAGAAGATCAAAATATACAACCAGAAGAAGCCAACAAAATCAAAGCTCCTACATCCAAAGCCTCCAAGAAAAATATGAATCAGTCCCAGGCCTTGGAAGAGCTCAAAAGGGATTTTGAGAAGCAAGTAAGGGAAATAGAGGAAAAACTGGGAAGAGAAATGAGAGTGATGCAAGAAAATCATGAAAAACAAGTCAACAGCTTGCTAAAGGAGACCCAAAAAAATACTGAAGAAAATAACACCTTAAAAAACAGCCTAACCCAAATGTCAAAAGAGGTCCAAAAAGCCAATGAGGAGAAAAATGCCCTAAAAAGAAAAATTGGCCAAATGGAAAATGGGAGTTATTCTATCTCTGTCTCACTTTTTCTGACCATGTGGCAAGTGATGTTCCCTTGAGAGTTGAAGGAAGAGGGGTCACTCTTCCATCCCCTTCTCCCCAAGCAGAAATATTGAATTTCCAACATATGGTAGGTAAAGCACACGTCTTGCATAAGCAAGCCTGAGCCTGGGTTTTCAGCTGCCTTTTCTCTATTTGCTTTTCCCTGGTTCATACATGGCTGTCTGTAAGCAGCCAGAAGCTTTGTCATCCCCAAAACACCCAGGGCCTGAGCCAACCCACACTGGTTGATCAGAAACAAGCAGGTCAATTGTTTGACTACAGACTGAAGCATGTTATTTTTCACTTTCTTTCATTCTTTTTCTTTTATTCGAGTCTTGTACAAAATGACTGACATGGAAATGTTTTACATGATTGCACACGTATAAACTATATCTGATTGTTTACCATCTTGGTGGGGATGGAGAGGGGGTGAGGGATAGAATTTGGAACTCAAAACGTAAAAAAAACCAAATGTTAAAAAATTGTTTTAGCATGTAATTGGGGGGAAATCACACACACGCACGCGAGCACACAAATACACACACACACACACACACACATACATACATATGCATGCACGCATGCACAAGCAAGTCAACTCTTCCCATACCCTGCACTATAATATACATCTAGTGCTGCATTTTATGGGGGTATGTGTAACTATTTTGTTTGAAACAGAACAGTTGTTTACTAACAAAGTACATTGTTGTTTTCCTTTAAAATTGCCCATTTTGTAGTTTGATTAAAACCTTGGCAACTAAAGCGTGACTTTAATTTGTAAACGTTATCAAAACCAGTTAATTCAGTTCTGTTTTCATTCAGTGCTTACTCAGTGCCAGGCACTGTTCTGGGGGCAGGGAAGACAAAAGCAACACTAAAACAGTCCCTGCCCTCAAGGAGACCTCATCCTATTGACCCGTTAACTATTAAAAAGGAATTGATTAAGATATAGACCTTTCACTCAGAAAATTTCCATGCTATAGTAGAAAGAACACTAGGTTTTAGGGCTGAAAGCTGGAATTCTAGTCTTGGTTTGCCATGTGGCCTTACGCTAGTTATTTTACCTCTTAAAGCCTCTAAAATGAGAGGGGAGTCGTACAAGGTGATATATTAAGGGGAAAAAACAGCAACCCATAGCTCTATATCCTAAATTCCTGTTAACTCCCCCATTCAGTGTATTTTTCACTTTGGGCTTAACAAGTCTTTGTACCCATACCAAAAGGAAGGTAACTGAAGAGGAAAAAAAACAAACAACCAAAGCTATTTTCTTACTTAAAAACCTAAGTAAGTTAATTAGGATCAGAAAGTAGTGGCTTATTAATTGACTTTTTACATGAGGCCGTATAGTTGACATAGGGATTTGGAAATAGAACACCTTTTTTTGTTTATCATAGAAATCTAAAAAAGGCAAATTTTAAAACTTTCCTTAAATGCACAAAATTCTGCCTTCCATTGACTTTTTTCTTATTATATGTACTTCATTCATTGATACTTATTTTAGGCGAGAGTGTGTATTGCCTTGTATATTTAAGATGAGTGTATTATTTCAGATTTTTAGAATTGTTAAAAAAGAATTCATTTTCCATTTTTATAGGCAAAATTCTATCACATAAGCAACCTATGATTGATGTTTTTTATGCCCTGTATTTTAAAGGGTAAAGGATTTTAAGTTTCTGGATACATTACCTTTGCCTGTTTTACAAATTTTCTTCCTGCCTAAAATTAGCGTAGCAAATTCTCTTTTAAAGTTGTGCTCAGGCTATATTCATCATTTGAAAATCATTATTACTTGGAAAAGTCCATTTATATTCAAGTCACAGAATGACTTGGTAGGAACATCTTTTGACTTAATGTTGTCCCATTATAGAAACAGCTGAAAACATCGGCTTTGCTTGTGAACTTTTGACAGAGGACACTACAATCTGCTATGGTGAAGATATTAAGTAAGTAAAGAGAATGTGTTCTGGGATACTTAGAAATGTCAAATGAGAGGCAAATCAAGAGTAGTTGATAAGAAGGCTAGTGATGGGGGAAATTGGGTACAGAATACATGCCTTAAAGCAGGGTCAGGCAGTGGAAATTATGCAGAGTACTTAAGAGTTTATGATTAGTTTAAAGCCAATGAGCCTCACTTAGAGTTTATTTTATTAGAGCAAAATCTGTCTCCTCTTTCTTTCCCTTTAAAGGATGTTTTTCCTAAGTGGAAGAAAGGAAGTGAGTCTAATGAATTTCTTAATACCTTAGTGTAAATTAATCTGGTAGCTTTTCACTTTTGAAAAAAAGACTAACAAATACATCTCTGCTTGGGTTTTAGGAATAGTAGGCAGCTCCTCATACTATTGAGGTAATAACCACATATCCTCACAGTCAAGAACAGGTCTGGTTTCAGTGAAGCTGAAATGCTAATTAAGCTGGAATGGAAGCATCAAAAATTATTCATGCCAACTGCCGACCTTTAATATATCCAGAGGAAAAAGCGTCATTTTGTTTGGCAGATTCAGATATTTAAAAGGAAATAAAAACCACTAAGAAACTTAGCATATACAAATGTCACTGATAGTCCACCAAGCTGGTTCATTAGATACCCACATATGGTATAATAAACCCAGAAGAAAAAATTTAACATAAAATTATATGTCTCACTCCTCAAAGATAATGGGGGAAATTGATTATCATTATTAGTCCTGCTAAAGATGGTGGTAGAGTTTTGTAGAGCACTGTGTTAGGATGCTATACTAGACAAGCAAAGAGTTATGAGATTAATTATCTGTATAGATGGGGCAGCAAGGTGGCATAGTGGATAGAGCCCCAGGCCTAGAGTCAGGAAGACTCATCTTCTTGAATTCAAATCTGGCCTCAGACACCTACCAGCTGTTTGACCTTGGGCAAGTACTTCTCCCTATTTGCCTCAGTTTCTTCATCTGTAAAATAAGCTGGAGAAGGAAATGGCAAACCACTTCAATATCTCTGTCAAGAAAACCCCAAATGGGTTCACAAAGAGTCAGACTTGGCTGAACAAAAACAAAAAAAAATTATATAGATAATTCATCTCTGAAAGAGATGGCAAGACTGTTTTCCCTTTGTTTTCCAGGTTTAAAAACTAGTAATTTAATAAAGTAATGAATTCTTAATATGTTGATTAATTTTTTTTAGATAATATAGCTTATCTGTTAGGCTGACTAGTTTTAAACTAATCACAGACTCCTAAATATTTTACATAATTCTCAATAGCATATAGAGAAGCAATGTGGTATAAGGCAGTCAGGGCATGCTGAGTTCAAGTCCTACCGATGACATATACTGGCTGCGTAACCAGTAACCATTTAAACTCCGAGTGCGCCAGTGAACTCTAAAAAATATTGTATATATAACCATTATACACACATTTGTGTGTGTGTGTGTGTGTGTGTGTGTGTGTGAGAGAGAGAGAGAGAGAGAGAACAGATACAGGGAGGAGAGAGAGATAGGAGGACAGAGAGAGATCTTTTTTTCCCTTCATGATCTTATTGGCCTTTTACAAGTCATGGTCCTAATAAATGAAAATTCAGTCTCTTTTTTGAAGGTGGTTAAACTTGAACCTTAAGGTTAAGATGAATTTTTACAAGTAGCAAGTTTGATAATTTAATTCTGATGCTTCTCTGTCACTAAATACAGGATGATTTGGGGGCAGCCGTCATACTCTGCATGGCTCTCAGAAAAAGAGCTGCTACTACTCCCTGGGCCCTTTTTGTGAATGGTAGCTGTGGCCTTGTTAGTCAAGGCTGTGGTTTGTAGATTTATCCAGAAAGACTCCTGTGACTTATAGTGACCCCACCCAGTGAGAAACTCTACCTTTTATCCTTTGATGCTAGGTTTTAATGGAATTATATAATATAAGAATGACATAGTGGGGTTAAAATTACTGAAGCATGGCATCATTGTATACAGTCCTTGACTCATATCCTTAAAAGCAAAAGCCATGAAAGCCAAATATTTAAAACAGTTACCACAGGGCAGACTCTTTTTGCCCTATAGGCAAGCCAGACAGGAGTATAAAAAGACAGTCTGCACAGATGCAAACCCACCCATTATCTGTAGGCAATGGCTACAGAAACTTAGGTTTAAAAAGAACAGAGGTCAGGTGCTTAGTTCCAAGCCTCCACCTCCTGCTTCTACAGGAAAGGAATAGAATTAGCAACTCGGCCCTGTTCTCTGCTGTCTGAGTGCCATAGGGCCACATCAGCTCCTGATGCTGCTGCTTTTTTGCTCAATGTTCTCCTTTTCACAAGTAAATTCAGGGGTGAGGGTCTTTGGAGCAACCCTCTGTCCTATCCAGCAAAAATACACAGGTGCCACAGTGCTTTACCCCATGTCCCCTTCTCAATCTTTGCTGCTCTTTTCAAACATTCATGTCGGCCAGGTGCTGTGTCACTTCCCTCAAAGCCCAGGAGTGGGGAAACTGCAGCCTCGAGACCACAGGTGGCCTTCTAGGTCCTCGGGTGCTGCCTTTTGACTGAGTCCAAGTTTTACAGAACAAATCCTTATATTAAGGAGATTTGTTCTGTGAAGTTTGGATTCAGTCACACTTGAGGACCTAGAGGGCCACATGTGGCCTCAAGGCTGCAAGGTCCCCACCCCTGAATTAGGCATTCTTATTCCCTTGTTTCCCACCCCCAGGATCTTCCTTTTCTGTTATGCTGGCACAGGCTCTTGTCTAATCACACATTGGTGAAGAGAAAGGTGAGAGGTAGGGGAAACGTATATAATAACTAAGGGCCACCTTATTGCATCCTGGTCCAGTCCATGGTTATTTTCCTTATTGTGCTGGGATTTTCCATCGCCTTGCCAAGACAAATACACATCCAGGAGTACAGCAGCCTCAGAATAAGATAATAAAGTCTCGATAAGATAATGTGCTCTTTCTAAGATAGCATTTTAAACTGCTAAGTTTAGTTCCTAGAAAATTTTAAGTTCAAAATTCATGCTCATTTTTTCCCCCAGTGCTCTTCTACATACAAGGAGGGAAAACCAGAAGAATAGAGCTGGGGTTTATGCAAAATTCTCTCCTGCTGTGAATGAACCTTTCTTTCCAACTGGTGGAAACCGGGCTTTAATCATCACTGGTTCCTGGTTGGTATGTATCTTTAAATTGTAGAGAGCAGCCACTTGGATTAGTTTTTCCTTATTACTTTGATAAATTCTCCAGTATTCATCTGAGGCAGCTAAGTGGTGCAGTGGATAGAGTACTGGACCTGCAATCAGAAAAATCTGAATTTAAATTAGGCCTCAGGCACTTATTATGGGACCCTGAGCAAATTACTTACCCTCTGTCTACCTCAGTTTCCTCATTTGTACAATGGGGATAATAATAGCATCTGCCTCTCAGGGCTGTTGTGAAGATAAAGTGAGATAATATTGTTAAGTGTTTTGCAAACCTTAAAGCATTATATAAATGTTAGCTACTATAAGATATTTTACTTTGCTTATGCGGCGAACTGCCTTTCAATTAACACATGTATCTAAAAGCTTCTCTACACAAAGAAAAAAAATACACGTAAATGAAGGCAATTCTCAATTTCAACAAAACTGACTGTACCTAATTGTAAAGTTAGATTGTCTGCCTCCACTTCCTCCTCTCTCACTTGCTACTTTACCTTTTGCATTCTGGATTTCCATCTAATTGTACAATTGAAACTGTTCTCACCCAAGCTCCCTTTGATCTTTTGATTGTCGAATCTTTTGATCTTTTCTCAGTCCTCCTCCTTCTTAATCTGTGTTTGACACTGTTGACCACCCTCTCTTCCCGTTACTTTTCTGGGTTTTCTTGACACCATGCTTTCCTGTTGCCTCCTACCTGAATGACAATTACTTCTCAGTCTCCTTTGCTTGCTTATTACCTACAACATGCCGTCTAATTGGGGTTATTTCCCAGTGTTCTATTATGATCCCATTTCTCTTCTCTTTCTCTAGGTAAACTTATCATTTCTCATTGATTTAACTATCATCTCTATATTGATAACTCCCAGGTCTACATTGCCAGCCCCAATCTCTTTCCTTTATTTTAACCCTGTATAACCAATTGTCTAGTGAGTATTTCTAACTGGATGTGCTGAAGAAATCATAAACTCAGCAAGTCTAAAACTGAACTCATATTTCCCTCCTTTCAAATTTCCCTATTTCGTCCCAGGTTTATAATCTTGGCATCATCCTCAGCTCCTCACTCTTGCTTACCTCATATAACCAACCAGTTGTCACAAATTGCCATTTCTACCTTCCCAGCGTCTCTTATATTTTACCCCGTCTCTCTACTCATACAGATGTCATCGTGAGTTCAGGCCCTCATCATCTCTTACCTAAATTGTTGCAGCAGCCTTTTAATTAATTTCCCTGCCTCAAATTTCTCACTAATCCAATTCATTCTATATATAGCTCCCAAAATAATTTTCCTTATATGCAGATCTAACCACCTGACTCCCCTATTCAGCCACCTCCAGTGACTTCTATTGCTTCTAAGGTAAAATATAAACTCTTCTGTTTAGCTTTGAAAGCCCTGTGCAACATGGTTCAGTTCTGCTAAGGTGTAGGGAGGTTGAAATGGACCAGGTTGGGGCCATGAGTTTAGAACTAAGAAACAAATGATTCAGCATGGGAAATCCATGTGATTAAGAGCTCAAAGAGGACTGTGGGTCTGGTCATTCCTGGGTGGCATAGAGGGAAAGGGCAAACTATGGCTGAATTGGTTCATGAGGATTCAGCTGATGGGATCTACTTTAAGTGTACCATTCAGAAAGAATTGATGGATCCAGGTGAGAGTAGCTTCCAGGGGCCAAAGCATAGAACATAAAAACATTCACATTTTGTCAAACTGATATATTTTCCTTTTGCTACTCTACCTTTCTTCTTCCCACCCCAATCAAGCAATTAATCACCAAACATTGATTTAGTGCCTAATATATGCCAGGCACTCACTGTGCTGGGGATCCAAAGGGAAAAGTGAAACCATCCTCTTTCCCTCAAGGAGCTTCCATTCTGTGTCAGGGAAGACAAACATGTACACATGAGTGAATACAAAATAAATATTAGAAGTTAATTTAGGTGAGGAGAGGGGGTCCAATAACCACTGGAAGATCAGGAGGGACTTCTTGTAAGAGGTGGTGTTTGAGTGAAGGCTTGAGAGAAGCTCGATTTGAAGATCCAAAGATGAGGAGGAAGTATATTGCAGGCACTGAGGACTGCCAGTGCAAGGGTGTGGAGAGAGGAGATAGAATGTGAGAAAAGATAAGAAGGGCCAGTCTGGCTGACTGTTTGAGTGTATGAAGGAGAGGAAGTATCTATAATAAGCCAGGAGGTTTCCCTTTTAGTAATTTGTAGTATGTTCCTTTTTCTAATGCATGACAGATCAATGTGTTAGGAGGTTGGTGGGCTGTCTATTAGACAACCACGTCACCGCCCTCCACTTTCTTCCTTATTGAGGCCCAGGAAAACCCAGTGTAAGTAATGGCAAAGGAAACTCAGTAGAATGCACCAGCTGACCAGGCTCTAGGTTATCTGGCAAGGAAGTGAAGTGGTGTTACAGAACTGGGTGGAATTAGTAGTAGACTCCTGTCTAGGGGCTATAGATACAAATGATGTATACTCTCTAGACATGGTCCCCAACCTTTTCCTAATAAAGACTTGCTTTTGATGTTCTTGAAGTTTTCTATTAACAGTGACAATAATATTTTCTCCTGATATTCAATGTCAATTTAAAAATTCTCTTTTTTTATGAACTTAACAAACATGAACATTTCTTTATCCAAAAAAAACCAGAATGAACAAATAAGAGCTTGAATCTTTATTATGTACAGCATTTTAAAAGTATATATTAAATATTGAATATAATACTAAATAGAACCTACCAATACTACTCTACTGAACCCTTCTGAACCTCTTTCTGTTCCTGTTTTTTAAATGTTTCAAGAAAAGCTCTCCCTTATAATAAATAAGCAGAGTCAAGTAAAATAAATTCAGATGTTGACCCTGTGTGAAAGCGTACGTCTCATTACTTTCTCTCAAGAGGTGGAAAGCATATTTCATCCCCAGTGTTCCTGAGTCATGATTTGTTATTGTATTAGTTGGAGTTTTTAAATCTTTAAAAGTTGTTTTTCTTTATAATGTTATTGTACAAATTATTCTCCTGATTCTACTTACTTCATTCTGTCAGTTTAAATCTTACCAAGTTTCTCTGAATCCATTCTTTCTGTGATTTCTTTGAGTGCAACAGTATTCCACTATATTTAAAAAAGATTTGTTAAGCTATTCCCCAGTTAATGGGCACTAACTTTATTTCCAAATAAGCTATGAATATTTTTGTTCTCAGTGGGTTCTTTCTACCTGTCCTTGACCTCTTTGGGTATATATGCATAGTAGTGATGTTATTTAGTCAAAGGGCACGTTTTAGTGACTCTTAGGGAGTAGGTCTAAATTGTTTTAGAATGACTGACTCAGTTCACACTTCCAGTAATAATGCTTTAGGATACCTTTTCTCCCATGGTTCCTTCAATAATTATTCTTCTTTTTTGTCCTCTTTTGTCAATCTGGCAGTCTCATCTACTGACACAGCTTCAGTCCTCATTTCCATGTAGAATATTCTCCTTCCTTCTCAGAACTTTAGGTGGGCATTTTCAACTGCTGGTTAGACATATCCACCTAGGTGTCCTTTCAGAATCAGAACTCATCATCTTACCTCCCAAACCTGCCCTTCCTCCTAATTTCCCTATTCCTCTTAATGTCACTACCATCTTCCCAGATATCTGGGTTTGAAATTTTGGAATCATCTGACTACTGGCCATTCCCTTAATATACCTTGTACTTTCCTGTCTGTCTGCCTTATTCAGGTTGTTCCTATGACCTGAAATAGCTTCTCTTTTTTTCCACCCTGCCACCATCCTCTGCCTTTTGAAATCCTTCAGAGTTCAGTTCAAGGGCTACTTCTTCCATGAAGTCTTCCCTTATCTACACTCCAGGTAAATTGGCTTCTCCTACTTTTGCACTCTTATAACATATTGTCTTTTATTTTTTATGTGTATTTCTTGCATGCAATTATTTCATCTCACTTTAATTATGTGGCGAGTTCCTTGTGAGAAGGGAATAATGTGTTAATAATTTTTATTTTCCCCCTCAGTAGCCAGCACAGTATTTTATACATGACAAGGTTTTGTTATATCTTGTTGATTGAATGGCAGGCAGGATTTTCAAGATTAGAGGAGGTAGGTTTTGTTGAAACCCAGTATGGCATCTGTTATTTACTCAAGAGCAGTTTGAACAAAGACTTAGAGATCAGAGGAAAAACACGGGTGGATACAGCCTAGCTGGAGTTGAGTTTATGTATGAGAGTTAGAAAAAAGCACCCAACAACAAGGGAGAGATCTGAGAGATTAGCTAGTTAGGCTTTGAAATTCAAAATTAAGAGTATGACCTCGATAATTTGGGCAGTGGTCCTGTGATTACAAGCTTGTGAAGGACATAGTTGGAGCAATACTTCCCAGATGGTTTTTGGAACATTTATTGACAATGAAACACAGGTGGATGAAGTACCATATGCAAGATAACAGTAGACCATACAGGAATTGAGTAGGCTCCAAATGAGGTACGTGATTAAAACAGAAAGAAGTGGCAGAGAGTCTTTGGTTCAAAGGTAAAAGACAGGTTTCATCACTGGTAAGATTGGCTCTTCCTAAGGCATTAGGCTAGTGCTCAAGCCTAGCTCCCATTTTAGCTATAAACACAAAGGGGCTATTGGGATTCTAGCCAGTATCAAAGATCACATATCCTGGATTAGGTAGTAGAAAGTCAGGGTAAAGTGGTGTGGGTTCTGAGATTAGGACACAATCAGAATGGCAAAGTACCAACAGGATTGTTGGGCATCCAGGAACCCATGAACATCATTCCAGCAAAAATGTTGTATAACCTGAACCTACCTAATTTTACTCCTGTCTGTAACATTTTCTCCCCAGGTACATACTGATTTATGCTAGCAAACTAATAAAGGCTTTTCACTTTAATTAGTTTAGTTTAGGTTTTCAAGCTACCTTAATGGAAGATAAAATAAAAGAATGAAATGTTGGGTTGCCTGTATTATTCCCTCCATTTCTTTTTATTAATGGACTTTATTCTAATTTCTTTGCTTTCTTCCCACCTTGCTTCTCATCCTTTTAGTTTGATCTCTATATCTGAGTCTTGATCTTTTTCCCCTATAGCATAGAGTTCTCATTTGTCTTATAGATTCTGTCAACATCTGTATAGTTTTAGTTGTTGCCTTTCTCTCGTTCCCCGCCATTCATGTTATGGTCCCCCGTATTTTGCCCATTCAAGGTCTTTTTTCTAATTGAAAAACTCCACTTCTAAAGCTATTGCACATATGAGTTTGCCTTTGTACATGATTAACCATTGACCAATTCTCTGATGTCATTGTGAGATAACACAGGTCAAAGGTAAGCAAATTCTTTCTTCCTTTCCCTGTACTAAGTAGATTTGGAATCTGTTAAGCAAGCAGTTTTTAGCAAAAATATAGAAGTTTGAATAATTTTTTTTGACATTACCTCAATAAATAATTATAACAGCTAGTATTGGATATACATTTTTCCACTCTTGAAGTTATTTTCCTGTGTATATCAACAATGATTAAATCTGGGACCAGATTTGAGGTGGTTCCAAAGATAAATATTCTCCTCACAAAAATATCTTTGTTTAAAAATGAAAGCACAAGACATAGAGGGTCATAGGTGTGTAGTGTCAGACATGATTGAGGTATTGATTGATTTTGCTAAACTGATTATTTTTCTTTCAAAAATATTTGTTACATGGGATGCTTTGCTTGATGGGGGAGGGTGAGGAATGTGTTTGGAGATGAACACGATGTAAAACCATAAGAAAACAAGAAAAATAATATTTTTGAAACAAGTATTAGCTTCAAGTTAGCAAAATGACTATAATATGTACTTATTTTCTCTTAATTCCTTTGCTGTTCTGTGAAAAGATAATGTAAAATAAGAAAGAGGCAATGTCAATGGGCAAGGCAGTTAGGTAGTGCTGTAGTTCACAGAGCACTGAGCCTGGTCTCAGGAAGAACTAAGTTCAAATGTGACCTGAGACACTTACTAGCTGTGTGACCCTGGGCAATTCATTTAACTTCTGCCTCAGTTCCCTATCTATAAAATGTGGATAATAATAATCATATTACCTCCCAGGGTTGTTGTGAGAATCAAATGAGAAAGTAATTGTAAAGTGCTTAGCACAGTGGCTGGCACATAGTAAGTGCTATATAGATGTTAGCTATCACTATCATCATTATTATTATTAATACTTTTTATAATAAAGACAAGTATTTAAGTTCATGTCGTTTTTCAAGGTTTCTGGAGGGAGGTAATGTTGGAGCAAGTAAAGAAGAGCTTTGTTAAATGTTAAACATTTTCTCTCTGGTACTATAGAATGAAATTCTTCTAGAAAAGAAGACAAAGCGAAGTAAAATCCTGAAACTGAAATTCCCCAGGACAGAAGAGGAAAGACGGATACGTACTCAGAGTAAAAGGAGACTTGAGGCTAACAAAGAACAGCAGCAGAAGAATTTTGTTGACTTAGCATGTGAGTGCAGCGCAGTTATCTGCTGCAGGGTCACTCCCAAGCAGAAGGCCATGGTGGTGGAACTCGTGAAGAGATACAAGAAAGCCATAACACTGGCCATTGGAGATGGTGCCAACGATGTGAATATGATTAAGAGTAAGTAAAGCGCCCAAAAGTTGTTAAGAGAGCATGTTCTGTCAGACTGTAGAGACTCCCAACAAAACGATCAGAAAATTGTTTCGGATATTTCATAAATGTCATTCCCCACTGGGGTGGGGAGCCTGTGGCCTCGAGGCTGTATGTGACCCTCTAGGCCCTCAAGTGCAGCCCTTTGACTGAATCCAAACTTCACAGAATGAATCCCCTTAATAAAAGGATTTGTTCTGCAAAACTTGGACTCAGTCAAAAGGCCACACTTGAGGTCAACACGTGGCCTCAAGGCCACAAATTCCCCACCCCTGCTAGGCTTTCTAACTCATGGAATTCAGTACATTTCTGTATGCCCTTCTAATGTAAAATGTTGAATTTACTTTTTTTCTATACCTGTTTTTCAAATATATAATTGCTGAATTGTATAAACAAGGTTAGTCTGAGAGTGCTGGTAATGAAAGATACCTTCATCCCTCTCAGTAAAGAAACCTATAGATGTGAAATGTGGAATATACTGATCAACAGTATTGGGTTTTGCTTAAATGCTCTTCTTTTTTATAATAGAAAGTTCATTAAAGCAGCAATCTTAAGGGACAATGGCCATATTTTTTAAAGGGCAATAATGAAACAAGTATATATAGATAAGCTTATATGGATAAAGTACTTCAATATATATGTGTATATACATGTGTAGTACACACACACACAAACACACATAGTATATGTGTATACATAAAATCTTTCACCATAGCATTTCCTATCTGAGAACTTTTTAATGCTTTATGTGTCTTGGAGCCTCAGTATTTATTTCATGACCTACTGTAATCCACTTCAATTCATTTGTCTTTAAAATAAAATGGTTGAACTGGATGAATCCTTAAAGTCCTTTCTAGTTCCAAAATGTTTTGATCCTATAAGTCTATAATCCCGTCATTTGGAATGATAGAAGTCCACCTGGAACACAGATAAGAGGAATTTGTTACTGAAAGAGCTTCATTATCATATGATCTCACCAAAAGTATACACATTCCATAAAACATTATAGAACAATTCCAGGGAAGTTTTGTCACAGATCTTCTTAATTTTTTTTAAAGATTATCCCTGAAAGAACTGGGCTGGAGAGAAATTAAGGTGCTTTTTTTCAGGTCATACAAAAAAAAATAGTAGAACTACTGTTAAACTTTAAACCAAAGCCAGTGCTACAGTCTAGATTTGTCTTTTGTGATCTCGTACTTAACAGCTACAATTGAGGTCATAAGGCAGCATAGTACAGTAGAGAGAGCACTGAACATGCCATCAGGAAATCTCTGCTCTGATCTTAGGTTTATTACTCCCTGTGTGACCTTCAACAAGTAATTTCCCCTTTCCAGGATCTCAGTCCCTTCATATATACAGTGAAGTCTAAGGACTCTTCCAGTTCTATGAATAAACTAATTTAAGAACTTGTGCACATGCTATATGTTATCTTGCTAAGAATTTAATAGTAATTATTTATTACTGAGTTTTCCCTTCCAGTCTATTTAATAACTCATACTTATATCTCTTTCTTTTTCTAGACTCTTCTACTCCTTCTCCTCCTCTTCTGATGTATATATATATCCAGACTATATTAGCTTCCTCGGCAAGAGTCTGCTGTATCATGTATGCCTTCTTACTGTCGTCTCATTGACTTTTGTTATCTGCCCCCACCTCTGGTTCTATTCCAATTGAGTTTTGTTTGAACTCTTACTTTCACAACTTATGTGACATTTGTTATAATGACCAGGGCCTCTTTATTTAGGCTCTGGACTACTATAGATGCCATACGAATGACTTGGACAGTGGCATGGATAATGCAAAATAACAGTTAGGCCACAGTTTTTTTATATTTGGCTCTGGAGAAGATGTTTGAAAAACATTTTCTATCTTATTAGATATGTATTCTACTAAGGGACTTTCCCTTATTTATTTATTTATTAGTTTATGGTTTTACTTCTTATTTTTACTTATTTAATTAGTTTCCTTTATTTTTGGCCTAAGGTAGTGATGAGTTTGGAAGTTATACACACCTAACTTTTAGATTTCTTCTAAATTTATGAGCTTACAGTGTACCATTGCGATATCTTCCAAATTTGTTTATTTCAATTCAACAGCAAACATACGATATCTAGGACACTGTGTTAAGGTGCTTCTTATTAAAAAAAAAAAGAAGTTTTTGTTTTGTTTTATTTTACTTTTGGTTTTTGCTCCAGACTTAGCATTTTAGTTGTTTATCTTAGGCCAGTAATGAGGCCATTGAACCTCTTTGGGCTTTAGTTCACTAATCTTTAAAATTAGGTGATTAAACTGGACAAATCCTTAAAGTTCCTTCTGACTCTAAATTTTTTTAATTCTGTTAAGTCAGCCAAGTCACATATGAGTGATACTTGATTATGCAACCCTCCTCCTACATTGTTCTTTGTAACTTTGTGCTATACTTAACCATATGAAACAGAAGATATTAAATGCAAACTTGATAAAGTCTGAGTTATCTAAGGAAAGGCTGTTAACTTTTCCAGGAATATATATTGTCTAAAATTAAGTTCTTGGAGACTCATTTGTTTTGGAAAGAGGCTTGGCCTTGGAATGAGAAGATATGGACTGGAGGGCTAGCTCTGGCACTTATTAGATGTCTGGTTGTAGGCAAGTCATCATTTTCTGACCCTCAGTTTTCCTCATCTATAACATGGGGGTAATGGTATTTATACTACTTCTCTCTTCCACCAGTTCTTAAAGCCACAGGTCAAAAAATGCCTGTCAATTTGTTTAAAATTTAAGTCTCTTTCTAATTTAGTGATGTGCTACATAGAGGAAAATAGGAGTTAACAGGATGTAACTAATTTGTATGTCCTTCAGAATAGCTTTACCAAGTCAAATAGCCAGTTAAGCTGGTTTTCTGTTTGTCAAAGTTTCAAATAAATTCAAAACTTGGAATTGATTTTGAAGCTCTTTTTTGGCTTATAATTCTGCTCAAGTTTTGACTGTCTCCTGGACTCTTTTGCTCAGTCTTTTCAGTCGTGTTCAACCCTTCATGACCCCATTTGAGGTTTTCTTGGCAAAGATACACAAGTGGTTTGCCATTTCCTTCTCCAGTTCATTTTACAGATGAGGAAACTGAAGCAAACAGGGTTAAGTGACTTGCCCAGGGTCACACAGCTAGTGTCTAAGGCCAGATTTGAACTCAGGAAGATTCATCTTCCTGACTCCAGGCCAAGTAACTCCATTCACTGTACCACCTAGCTTCCTCCCTCCTAGACTCTAGGAAGTAATTAATTTGCTGTGTTCCATTTTCCCTGCCTTTTGCATTTCTTCATTATTTTTCATCACTGTAGTGACTTCTTAATGCTTAAATGTTTCAGAAGACCTGTGATAATATTCTTTTGAGTACTCTTCAACAAATGCAGGTCACAACCCCTCTACACCTTGGTAGATGGTTCCTTGTAAGTTTTGTAGGATCGTAATTGCCACCAGGTATCCTAGTCCTGTCAACAAGCATTTAAGTGCTTACTCTGTGCTAGGCACTGTGTTTAGAACTGGGAAAACAAGAAGATTATGTTCCAATGGGGAAGAAACACACATAAAAGGAAGCTGGAAAGGAAGAAGGGAAAAGGAGAAAAGTACCCCCACAGGGGTATGATAGCGAGTCAGGAGTAGAACGTGGAGAGTAATGCTGACATCATGACTGAGATAAATGTTTTCCTTAAAATGGAGGTTTGAGGAGGAACCAGCCAGTCAGAGGAAGGGGCCACAAGAGCAGAGTGATCACCTTCACACCTTCTGGTGAGCATCCTATCCATATTTAGCTAGGTTGTCTGTGCCACAGGGCAGTCTATTTGAGGGCTAGTACTCAAAACCTTTCCAGTGTGGGAAGGACCTCACACAGCATGTCCTCCACTGGCCTAGCACTAAAGTGCCCAGGGTGACTGATATTTTATGAGTCACCAGAACAGAAGTGTTAGAGGCTATTGGCTAACACTACCGTAAACAATTAATAATTTTCTCATTCGTTAACCAGAAAAATTGACTTAATGCCTTTTAGATGGGTAAAATATAGGGTCTTTATCACTTTTGTTTCTGACAACTTTTCAAAATAGCCTTAGATGGCCAGGTTTTGCTATGTTTTTCAAGTCTCAAAATATCAAGTATTCAGCTCCAGGTTGAGTTTAGAAGAAGCCACAGGGGAAGAACATCACTATGCAGAGAGAAGATTCAGGAGAAATAATTATGCCATTAATTTTATGTATCCAAAAGATAGGGCCATGTTCCATTTATGTTATTTTCTGCTCATTTTTGCAGTTTCAGGAGTTTGGCCAATTGGTTGGTGTTTTTTTCTCTTCTACTAAGTCCATAACTAAGATATCTTCTTTTGTATTTCTTCCATTAGCTGCCCACATTGGTGTTGGCATAAGTGGACAAGAAGGCATGCAAGCAGTCATGTCTAGTGATTACTCTTTTGCTCAGTTCAGATATCTGCAAAGACTATTGTTGGTCCACGGTCGATGGTCCTACATCAGGATGTGCAAGTTTCTCAGATACTTCTTCTACAAGAACTTTGCATTCACTTTGGTTCACTTCTGGTATTCCTTCTTCAATGGGTACTCAGCACAGGTAATAGGAGACATTTGTTTTTTAATTGGTCTTTTTCATGAAGTTGTTCCTAATTTAATATAGACTCTGTATATATGTGTGTGTGTGTGTGTATGTGTGTGTGTGTGTGTGTATGTGTGTGTGTGTGTGTGTGTGTGTGTGTGTGTACTTAAAATCTTGAACATAGAGGGAAAATAATTTAAGTTTATTTAAATATAAGTATAGTAATAGAAATATTTGCATAGGAAAATATAAACATGTAAACCTCTCTAATACCCTTTGTGCTATTATTAAGTCATATTGTTGGAGACCTTTCATACTTTTGCTGAGTCTATTCCTGTGTGTGTTCAGTTTTATATCATTCTCCACGTAATTCCTCATAAGGAAACAGAATGGCATTACAGAGAGCGTTTAATGTGTTAAGAGCAGAAAAATGAACATCCCAGCTACACTTCATCCAATGCCATAGTTTATGTCCTTTGTGCTAATCTTTATATTCACTAGAATGCTTCAGAAGACAAAGACTTATAAGTGTGGTAGAGGCCAAAGAGGTTCCTTTTTCCTGCCTTTTGGCAGATCCACACAAAATTCTTTATCTTAAATTATTTGTCTTTCAATCAGTAAATAAACGCTTATGAAGTGCCTACTGTCCTACTCTCTAAGCACTGGGGATATTGAAATAATAGTCTCTATCCTTGCATAGCTTACTTTCTGTTGTGGTAAGAAAATTTCAACAATTGGCTTATTATCTCTGAACAATCTTTTTATGCTATGTAAAATCCCCTTTTGTATAACTCATTTTGTAAAGCTGACATTTGTGAAAACGGCAAAATATGTGTATACGTGTGTGTACGTGTGTATGCTCACAACACACTTTTAAACTTTAATATAATTCTTAATATCAGGTTTTTATGTCTCCTAATATACTGATAATGGAAAAAATGAAGAATGTCAGCATGTTTCAGATTATTTGGGTATATTGTCAATTTTACATATGATCTAGTTTATGGAGTGACCTGTATCCTTACCCATTTTGTAGAAAGAGACTTACTGAATTTCTCTTTTCTTGAATAATAGATTTGATCAAGATTTATGTTGGCAGGGGTTGCTCTGTGGTGCAGTGGATAGAGCACCTGCCCTGGAGTCAGGAGGATGTGAGTTCACACTTGACACTTACGAGCTATGTGATCCTGGGCAAGTCACTTAATCCCATTGCCTAGCAAAAAAAAAAAAAAAGATTTATGTTGGCAACACCTCTCTCCCAGGCCAGAGAAACCCTTATTACTGTTTCTTCCCATTAGCAAAGTGGGATAACATATAATTTGAGCCTGCTGTACTTCTGAAGCAGTATGTTTGAGTTCAAATCTTTCTTACTATGTGAATATAAGCCAGTCAGTTGCCTTTCTGTTTGCTCACCTATTAAATGGGGATAATGTTACCCATAATGCCTCAGTGTTGTGCGGAATGAATGACTTAATTGATGTAAAATGCTATATAAATATCCATTGTGGTTATTTTCACTTTAGACTGCTTATGAAGACTGGTTCATCACGCTCTACAATGTACTATATTCAAGCCTCCCTGTGCTGCTGGTTGGCTTGCTGGATCAGGTATGACCCCAACTTTGTATAGTAAGACTGTTACGTAGAAGAGCTTGGGCACATTTGGAGAAGTTAAAATAATTTTTAAAATTTTATTATTTTAGTTTTCCTTAATGCAATGAGCGATTATAATGCTGAAATAAGAGGAGCAAGGATCACCTCTATTCCAAACTTTCTTCTCACTGTAAAGCTGAAGACAAGGCACTGAACATTGTTATCTACCCAGGAAATGTAATTTAATACATTACTTGTAACAGATTTTTCCCCAGTTTACTGCTGCTTTTCTTAACCTAGCTGAATTTGTTTTTGATTGTGGAAAAGCTTTTTAATTGTATATAATCAAAATTGTCATATTTTATGGTCATCTCTATTCATTGTTTGGTTAAGAATTTTCCCACCTATCCCTAGCTGTATGGAGTTCTCTTTTTTTTTTTTCAGTGATGTGACCTTTTATATTTAGGTCACATCCATTTGGATATAGTATAAAACAGTGGTGTCAAACTCAAATAGAAACAGATTCCTGCTACTGAATAAGAAAACTACAAATTAACATTATGTCTTGTTGTAGCTTTATTTATTTTGTTAAGCATCCTCCAATTACATTTTATTTTATTTTTTAGGTAATTGGGGTTAAGTGACCTGCCCAGGGTCACACAGCTAGTAAGTGGCAAGTGTTTGATCTGAGGTCAGATTTGAACTCAGGTCCTCCTGACTTCAGGGCCAGTGCTCTATCCACTGTGCCACCTAGCTGCCCCTTTCCAATTACATTTTAATGTGAGTCTGAGTAACTGGGGAGTTTTCCTTGTGCATACAGCTGAGGGCTGGGAGTTTGACACCTCTGGTATAAGATAATTATCTAAATTTAATCCCAGAAGCCTTTTCATCTTGATAGAATTTTCCAGAGCTTGTACACTGCTGACCTATCCTTCTCAAACCCCTACTGTTACCTCCATTCCACGATGAAACACTGGAATAGGGCATTAATAGAAGAATTTATGTAGCTTATCTTGGAAGACATATAGGTATATGTAGAAGGAAACACCTCAAGTACACACCCAGTAATAGACCATGTATCTGCCATCCAACCACCAGCCAAGCAAAGCATGGAAACTCTCATTACCAAAATGTGTGGGGTTTTTTGTTTGTTTTGGTTTGGATTTTTGTGGTTGTGAATATATATGAAATAGGCAAAAACACAGTCCTGAGTCTAGCGTAGCTTACTCTACCCTTTTGAGAGGAAAAACAATGGGGACAGAGGGGGAAACAATGGGGTGTTGTCAAGCATAAAAACCCTTAGTTTGTCTACAAATAAAAACATAATCTTCATTATATTTGACATGTGACCTATGTCCAACAATCACTCAACTGACAGACTGCTAGAGGAACTGAACCATGCCCATATCAACATCCTCACTCTAAAATTAAACCAAAAAAACTAAAGAAATAGTAGCTAAAGGGAAAGGCAATTTGTAGACTTTTTTCAGAAGGGTGAATGAAATAGATGGAGGAATTGGTTTGATTATGCACCTACCTAAAGACAACAAGAAATTCTTTTTGATGGGGATGGCCAGTTATCCCTCCTTAAAAAGGAACTCCTTAAAGAGGTCTCTCTCTTTGTGAGTCTAAACCAAGAGGTTACCATGAAGCTTCCTGCCGTCCATTGCAGCTCTGTTACAGACCAATGCTGATTGAAGGAAACAAGGCCAAGAAAATAATATGAATGATTAGAACAATGGTTCAAATTGAGAAAACCTAAAAGTAGTTGAACTCTGAACTGCAACGAACACTCTGAGTCTTGGCGAATGGTGGACACTACAGTTGCGGAGTGTGGTATTTCCACACTGTCAGATCCAGCTTCTTTGTCAGTGGGTTTTGATTAAATATTTTTTAATATTTTTATTATTAAATTGTATATTCTATATTATAAATATAACCATATTATAAATGAATCTAAATTATATTTATATAAATACATATAAATATAGTATTAAATATTTTGATAAAATATTTTCCTTTGTTACAAGGATGGTGTTGGTTAAGGGGAAATGACAGTGGTGTAAACAAAAATGGCAATAAAACCTTTGAATACTGTAGCAGGTTGAAGCAGTTTGAAGGGTAAATAATAAAGCTGTGTTTTAATGAAATTCACAGCTCTAGAAAGGAAACCATCAAATAAATAAAAAAAATTAATATCCATCCCACCAGTTGTGTCCCTCTCCCGGGCACTGGAATGTTGCTTAGGTTCCCTTTGTGCTAATGGCTTGTAATGCTTATTTTATTTTTTCTCTAAAGGATGTGAGTGACAAACTGAGTCTTCGCTTCCCCAGCTTGTATGTAGTAGGGCAGAGAGACTCATTGTTTAACTATAAGAAGTTCTTCATAAGCTTGTTCCATGGAGTCTTAACATCACTGATCCTCTTCTTCATACCATTTGGGGCTTTTCTACAAACCATGGGGCAAGATGGGGAGGCACCTTCTGACTACCAATCCTTTGCTGTTACAATTGCATCTGCTCTTACAATAACAGTCAATTTTCAGGTAATCAGATTTAGTTGAATAATTTCTGGAATAATTTAGTTGAATAATTTCAATTAGTTGAATAACATTTATATAATAATATGTTTATGAACAATGTATGCTGATATATCATGCATGAACTTCTATCCTCTCTCCAACTTTCTATACCATGAATATAATTTTCATACCTTTTTCCCCCAGACAATTGAGGATGGTAAGGCTGATTTGGGGCTGAAGAGCCTTCAAATCAATCCATATCCAAATTGCTAAGCTCTAGACCCATGTAGTCTTTCTTTCTTGAAAGAAAGGGGGGCAACTAGGTGGTGCAGTGGATAGAGCACCAGCCCTGGAGTCAGGAGGACCTGAGTTCAAATCTGGCCTCAGACACATAACACTTACTACCTGTGTGACCCTGGGCAAGTCACTTAACCCCGATAGCCTTACCAAAAAAAAAAAAAACAACCAGAAAGAAAAAGCCCTGACCCTAGAGCCAGAAGATCCAGGTTCAGGTTTAAGTTTGCCCCTTTACTAGTTGTGTAAGTTTGTTCATTTAATGTCTCTGAGTCTTTGTTACCTCTCCTGTAAAATGGAGGTAATAATACATGCTCTACTGACTCCACTGGGTGGCTGTGAGGATCAAGTAAGGTGAGGTAGATAAAATGCTCTGCAACCTTCAAGCACTTAGCTGAATGTAAGTTATTATTGTTGTTCCATTAACCACCAAATGAATGCTGTTTTCTCTTTGGTTTACCAACAGATTGGCTTAGATACTTCCTACTGGACTTTTGTGAATGCTTTTTCCATTTTTGGGAGCATTGCTCTTTACTTTGGTGTCATGTTTGACTTTCACAGTGCAGGAATCCATGTTCTCTTCCCATCTGCTTTCCAATTCACAGGTCAGTTATTTTCACATTCCCAACATAAATTACAAGAGAGTACCTCTTTTTTTTTTCAATTTCTGATAGGAATAAATTCTGCTATACATTGCTGTATTGGTCAGTGGTCCTAGAAATCAAGTTTCCTTCTTTAAAAATCTAGTTCAAAGAAAAAAGTAAAATCTGCTTAAATTCTAAGGTTCTATAAGAGATTTGCTAGAAATCTCTTTTTCCCTACAGCGATTCTGAAATTTTGACAAAGTATTTCAGATCCAAAGTAATTCCAGTGTCCTGACAGACAATTGCCAGAAACTGCTCGCTATGTTCATTAAGTAATTACAAACACTGTGAAAGTTAAAATTAAAAAGACTATTCTGTGATTCCTTTGAACGTACAATCATAACACACAAAGCAATAACCAGACAAAGTTATCTATAAGGGATGTTAATTATTGCATCTAAATTGGTTGTTTGGATCAGATTACTAAGTTTATTTCTGAATTAATATTGTAATTTGCCCAGACCTAATAAATGTTAATTGGAGTTTCAAGATGAAGTCTGACCAAAGCCATTAATCAGTCAGTCCTTTAAAAAAAAAAAAAGAAGAAGAAGAAAGAAAAACACCCTGATGAAAGAACTTAATTTGATTTTCCCATATGTTGTACAACACAGGATTATTATTTTTCTGAGCATTTTTCAATTATATGGTCAACTCAGTTCTATCCATAATAAGAGGAGACCAGTATTGTTTGTAATGCAAAAAGCTTTATAATACATGTTATTTTTTTTCCCCAGAGAGGTCATGGAGGGTAGGGGTAAGCACATTTACCTCTTACTTTCCTAATTTTACTTTGCTTGGGCTGATATTCAGTTATTTGTGTTCCATGGAAATGTGTTGAGAGCTATGGGAGTTTGGGGGAAGATAGTATCCTGGTTTCAACAAATCAACTATGCACATTCTACGGTTATAAGTATCCAAGAGTTGATTCTGTTTTTTAGATAATAGAGAGGATGTCATTGCCAACTGACAAAAATGTATCCCTTTCTACCATCATTCTTCATAGGAACTGCTTCAAATGCCCTGAGGCAGCCATACCTTTGGCTGACCATCATTTTAACAGTTGCAGTGTGCTTGCTTCCCATTATTGCCTTACGTTTCTTATGTATGACAATCTGGCCATCAGAAAGCGATAAGGTAGGTAGAAGGGATAATCCTCCTTTCATTCAACAAGAATTTATTAGGCATTTATTATATGCAATAGGAGCAGCTAGGTGATACAGCAGATAAAGTGCCAGATCAGGAGTCAGGAAGATTCATCTTTCTGAGTTCAGATCTGGCCTCAGACACTTGCTAGCTGTGTGACCCTGGGCAAGTCACTTCACCCTGTGTGCCTCAGTTTCCTCATCTGTAAAATGAACTGGAGAAGGAAATTGCAAACTACTCCAGTATCTTTGCCAAGAAAACACCAAATGGGGGTCACAAAGAGTTGGGCACAACTGAAAAACTACTTAACAACACCACCTGTCTATGCATTTACCTCCTAAGCACCAAATCCAGTTGTGTTTCTTTGGTCCTCATCTTCCTTGATCTCTTGGCAGCATAGTCAACACTGCATATGTCACTTGAGTCTACTGAATGTGCCATTCCTTCAATGAAGGAGACACTAAACTGTCCTGGTTCACCTCCTACATTTCTAACCTCTCTTTCAGGTTTCTTCCCTTACTCCTTCTCTTTCTGTCTTCTTAAAGTGAGTTTTCCCAAAGGTTCAGTCCTTGTTTCTCTTCCCTTCTTTCTGTACTGCAGTTCATTTACTTCATTTACTAATGTAGTTTCAATCTACCTACCCAATGCAGAAGACTCCTAAGGCTACATTTCCAGCCCTGAACTCCTTCCTGTGCCCTAGAGCATTATGGCTCCCTACAACTGCAAACTCAATGTGGCCCAAAGCAAGCTTGGTATTTTCTGCTTAAACCTTCTCTTTGTTCTTATTTTATTCTTTCTGTCAGATACACCACAATTACCTGAGTGTCCCATATTTTAAAATGGTGTTACTTTGACTCTTCCTCTGTTTCACTTCTCCTGACTCTCACTAATTCTTATGTATTGCACCTCCATTGCTGCTCTCATATGCAGCCTCTCCTTTCTGTTCCCAGCGCTTCTGCCTTGGTATATGCCTGCAATATCATCTACCTGGACTGTTGTAGATGGCCTCCTATCAGACCATTCCCTCTCTCCTCCAGTCCATGCCAGAATAATCTTCCTTAATCAGATCATTCCTCTAGGAGAATAATGTTGGGCCATAGATAGAACATTGGATAGAGAGTCAGAGGACCTGGGTTCAAAACCTGGTTATACCATTTACCACCTATATGAGCTTGGGCAGTTTACTTAACCTCTAAGGACTTCCCTTTCATTATCTGTAAAATGAGGGCATTAGAGTAGATGACCTACAAAGTCTCTCTCCAGATATAAATCTATAATCTCATGGTATGCTAAAAAAAAAATCCAATGACTCCTTATTGACTACTGAATAAAGGTCAAACTACTTTTCTTGGCATTCAAAGCCCTTCACAATTTATCAGGTTCTTATCTTTTCTATCTTATATTATTCCCTTCCATATAATTTATAGATTAGCCCCAGTGGTCTGCTCTCTGCCCCTGAACACATCCTCTCCTTCCCAATTCTTTGCTTTGGTTCATATGCTGTTCCCTGTTCTGGAATGGGTTCCCTTTCTGTCTAAAATTCCTATCGTTCCTTTTAAGTCCAGGTCAACATCACCTCTTCCATGAAAACTTCTTTGATCTCTGTCTCTCTGCTGTTAAAGAACTTATTTCTACATTTACCAGGCTTACCAAGGAATTTTTTTTCTACCCATGTACATAATGGGCAAATTTGATCATGAATATCCAAACAGGATTCACAGCCATGCACTTCCCTGAAGTGGAGTATGGCTAGCTAATTTATAAATTGTTCATACTGTTGGGTTGAGGAGAAAAGGAATAAATTGAAGGTAGCTTAGAACTGAAAGATGAACATTTTGTTCTCAGATGAAGATTGATACTTATTGCTGTTATTTATCATCTGCTACTCTGCCAATTGATGCAGGAAAGCTATTTACAACTCACTTTTTTGGGGGGGTCTGATATCCTGGCATTTTTTCAGGGTGCAAACATGAAATAACACATCTGAAATAAATACTACTTATCACACACACACACACACACACACACACACACACACACACACAATTGAAAGATGAGTTGGGAGAGATTAGTACAATGCTGGGATAAGGAAGTACAAAGTTAGGAAATTGATGAAGATATGGTCATTGTGCCCCAGTAACCAAATTGTGATTGGCATATACTAGGAACAAGTACTGCAAGTCAATCAGGTGCTTTCCATTGTCCTGCATAGGGACAGCATTCTTTCTCATAATAACACATTTCCCCACAGTTTTTTTTTATGTTGACATTACCTAGTCTACCCACAGATCTTTGTAGTGATGTCAGCTTCTCTAGATGTACAGCTAAGACATTCCTAAATTCTTGTTTCCACTCCGTAAACTTTTGTCCCTTTGACCTCACATAGTATTTTGTGTGTGTGTGTTTGTTCTATACTTTTTAAAATGTGCTCATCATGTACCATCTCATTTTAGTCATCTGGGTTTGTTATTCTCTCTGCTACACTCTGTAAGGTCCCAGAGGACGGCAACCATGTCTTACTGAGACCTTATATCTCTCCTGGTGCACAGCAGCAAGACTGAGTGCACATTAAGTACTTATTTGAAGAATGAATACTTGAGTTCAGTTTTTAAATATGTTACTTTTGCAGGGATGACAGTACATACCCATGGAGTTATCCAGCAGATACAGTCTAAATATTCAGTCCTAAATAAGGGAAACTAGATCATATTTGAATGCAAGGTTGAAGTGGATAGATAGATGTAAATATATACACACATGCACACATACATATACACATGTATATACATATGTATTATAGAGAGAGAGAAGAGCTAGAATGATCAATAATCAAAAGTACAAATAGGAATTTTTGTTGTTGTGACAGTAGGGGAAAGCATTTCATCCTTTAAGAACAGATGAAAGGTGAGAGTGAAGAAATAGAGAGGTTATCAGGACAAAGAGGAGAAAAGGAGTCGAGGCACTCACAAATGATTACTTCAGCTTTCTCGGTAAACTAGAAGATAAGGCTGTCCGTTCAGAGAGTGGGATGGAGGTGTACTTGGGTGTTCAAGGTGAATGGAAAAGGTTTGGAATAACTGCTGTATAGGATGCAATAGAGTCAATAAAGGATGAATAAAAGCATTGCTATGGTCACTGTTAGTCCACATGAGATTAGACAGCATAAATTTATAGTGGACCAGTCAGCGTGGTTTTACACACTCTATCAGCAGCACTAGGTAGCTTGAGAGTGGAACACATAATAGCAATTGCCCAAGGTTGGAGATGAACAAATCTAGAGGAGAAGGACAAATTCAGGGGTGAAAGTGAAGAGAAACATGACAATGGCCAACCATTAGGTCAAGACTTTGTAGGAAGGAGAGGGATGTAACATATGTATATGTTAAAGTGATTTTCAAAATGGCATATTTCTCTTGCTTGGAATTTTATTAGATTTGAACTGAGGGGACAGGTAAATGGTGTAGTAAATACAGCACGGGCGCTGGAGTCAGGAGGACTTGAATTCAAATCCAGTCTCAGACACCGTATGACTCTTAACCCCGATTCCCTCCAAAAACAAAGATTTGAACTGAGAAGTATTCTGTTTTTCTTGTCTTCATCTTATCTTGCAAATAAATTTAAACAAACAATTATTAACCTGTTTTTAAAAAAATCCTGTAGCAAGTGCAAAATATCTACTAATCTTTACACATTTCCTGATATGTTATAATTTATGTATTTTAGCATTTGTGCCTTTGTTGTAATTCTTACTTGCAGCCTGATTTTTTTATGCTTTATTGAATCTAAGATCTGGCCCTTTATTAAGCATTTTGTTAAGTGCCTACTATGTGCCAGGCACTGTGCTAAGAGCTGGGGATTCAATGAAAGAAAAAAAAAGTCCCTGCTATAAAGTATCTCACAGTCTAGTGAGGGAGACATCATGCACACAGCCATATAAAAATTACACATATGCAGGATAAATTGAAGAACTATCTCAGAGAGAAAGCACTAAGATTAAGGATGCCTAAGAAAGCCTTCTTGTGAGGTGCAGCTTTAGCTGGTCCTGTGAGAACATTCAACTGATCCATCTGCCTTGACTTATGCATTTGTTTCCTTGTTGCAGATTCAGAAAAGTCGTAAGAAGTATAAAGCAGAAGAGCAGTGGAAACGAAGGCAAAATGTGTTTCGACGGGGAGCGTCATCTCGTCGCTCTGCTTATGCTTTCTCCCATCAGCGGGGATATGCTGACCTCATCTCCTCAGGACGGAGCTTACGCAAAAAACGATCTCCATTGGATGCAATAATAGCTGATGGAACTGCAGAATATAGACGAACTGTAGAGAGCTGATGTAAATTTTTCCGTGGGAATAGTTTTACTGAAATAATTGCACAAAGAAAAACATATATTATGCATATATTTTTTTATGACCAAATCTCAGGACATTTTTAAAAACTGAATTTGACACAGGGATATTGAAGATGAGCAATTTTTATATATGAAAAACCACTTGGCTGGGACTATTAAAAATTAAACAAGCCAAGTATGGGTATTTTTTTTTAAAAATTCCATTAGTCAAACATTTATACTCATGAATTTGTTACTCAAAAGGTTTATTTTCTAGAACCTTAAACTCATAGTGATGTGACACTTGAAACAGCAAATACACTCACACACACACACACACACACACACACACACACACACACACACACACACACACACACACACACACACACACAGAGTGTCAGTAATATTCAACCAAAATGTTCATTAAGCTCTCTAGGCCACTATATTAATGTGAATTTTTCACTCAAGAGGATACCAGCATAAGAGTATAATTAAAAATTCCTTATCTGGGAGCTGAGGGTTTCAAAGGCCTCTGTGGAGTTATAAATGGGCTACATGGTTTTATGCTCTCCTTGCTTTTAAGATATTTGGTTTAACAAATTAGTGCAATCCAAAACAAGTCCATTGAACTTGGCACATCTCCTTTGCTTCTTTTTAGTGCAAGTCTAATACAGTACATTATAAGTTTTAATCTTCTCAAAGCATGTCATTTAGGAAACCTCCTAAAGTCCTACTATAAAAACCTCCTTTTTTTTTCTAAAAAGAAAATCTACATTTTTTGTTTGTAATACAACTATGTAAATGTGGAAAATAGTGATAAATCACCAAGTATTTTGCAGAGCTTTCTTTTGAGAAGCAAACTTTTGTGCCTGCCTATATATAATTATAAAGTATTTTTATAAGGGAAATGAGTAACAGAGACCTCATTCTTTTTCACTCGGATGTTTCTATAGCTGACTTGAGAAAAAGAAAAGGATGTTATTAACCACATTTCGAAGGATGTCAGTATGTGTTCATTTCAAATTATCATTTTAGTTTAATTATGGAAAGCATCCTTTAAAGAGGTAAAAACTCTTTTTGTCCAAAGGCTTTCCTCATTCTGTCTAGAACATACACTAGTGTCTTTTGCTAGTGAATTTATAAACATGTTTCACCAATACTGCCCTATACCAGTACGCTGCTGCTCGATGTTAAAAGTGTCTGCCTATCACGTTAATTCCTTTTAAGGAGCTTTAAAATGTATATAGTTCTTCCAGGTGCGACAAGAGAATGTATAGTTCTTCATTTTGTGGAAATAAATTAAAGAAAGTTTACAACTTTTCCTTTATCATGTGAATAAAAAGGAATGTAAAATTCACTTTTTTTTAAACAAAGGTAAACTGAGTGTATAATTCTGTCAATTTCATATTTCTCTTCTGTTTTGTGGTAATTGAATGTGGGGAAGATTGGTAATGCGAATGTGTCAAAGACTTCTACTGTAGGGTGCAATATTAACAATCTTATTATGCAAATTGCTTTGGAAAATGATTTCCTTTTATCTGTAAATCTGAGACTTTATGTGTAAATATTTTGTTTAAAGAGTAATAAATGCTTTAGTAATATGTCTTGGAAAATGATCATCTTTTGACAGATGTATGAAGCTTTCACAGATTATAAATATAGAAGAAGGAATCTGATGCTTGGATGGATTCTATAAAGTAAAGTTCAGAACAATGAGGCTGGAAATTGGAGGAGGAGTTCAGAGTTTTAATGTAGAAGTGAATATAGTATGAGACAGTGGAGTGGAAGGAGCAATTGCCTTGGAGTCCAAGACCTGGATACAAGCTCCTTGTATTGCATTTCTACCTGCATAATTTTGTGTATGCTGCTAATTCTAGCTGACGTTCCCTTTTCTCTGAGATAGGGCTGATGATAACACCCGTGACCGGCTACCTCCAGGTAAATATAAGGCACTGAAGTAAATTGGATTGATTTCAAAATACATATTCTTAATGGTTTCAAAAGCCAAGCAAATGAATGATATATTTGCCAAGAAACAGACAACTTTATGGCCTCAAATGACACATGCCAAAAAATATGTCTAAAACTGAGCAATACTGTGAGTTCAGTAGTAGAAATAAGATGGGAACAGACCTCTCTGTGCCATGTGAAACAATGTAATTAAACACACATCTCCTGAGCACCTACTGTGTGCTAGGCCCTAAGGATACAAAGATTTTTTTAAAGCCTATCTCATGCCTTTTACATTACGTTGTAGCAGTCAATCAGCCATTGAATTAATGCTCTTTGGAGTGTGTGTGAATAGTTGACTAATTTCTTCATCTCATTTTATGGCCTCCCATTTAACAGCAGGTGTTTATCCAAATGAGGGGTTTTGTTGTAATTAGATGGCCACACTAGGAAAGGAAAGGAACTTCAAACATAAAACTGTGCATCCTGGTAAGATTTCTTGAAGGGTAATTCTTATAGCCCGGCAGGCTGGAGAAGAGGAGGTAGAGATCATGCTAGTCTTCAAGTCCTTATCTCAAAGTGGGCCTGCTCTAGCTACCTGGGAAAACATCTGCAACATCAGATCAGCTTATTTTTATATCGGAAAGTCATGCTTCACCAGGTTTCCTTACTTCCCATGCATTCTAGAGGAAGCTCATGGAGAGGCAAGGTCCATTTCCAAATTTATGGTTTGGGATCTTTGAGCACCATAATTGGTTGAAGGGGCAAAGGATGGAGAAAAGAGGAGAGAGGATCCAACTCATAGCAGCATAGAATGATGGAAAAAACGCTGAATCTGGGACCAGGGGACATGGATCGAGATCCAAGCCCTGCTACTGTAGCCTGTGTGACCTCAAGCATTTCCTCATCTATAAAAAACAATTGTAGGTCTCTCCCAGCTCTAAAACTCTGGCCCTATAATGAAGGCTGGGGGGAGCCAGGAGAAGGGAGGGATTTGTTTTTCTATCCCCAGCCTGGTACATACTAGGCAATAAATGCTTGTTGATTGATTAAGGATGACTCAATGAAGGAAATGGCAACTAGAGGAAAGAAACGTGGGAGGATGTGGAGGTAGGGAAATCTTAGGTGTAGGATACTGAATATAATGTTAAACTTTTTTATATTTAGTTTTGTGGACCTTTTTTCTTTTTATTCATACTTTCTTATAAGAGGGTAGGAGAAGAATACAGTGAGAACAATAAATGATTTTTTTTAAGACCAACAAAAATTGATGTAATAAATTTTTTTTCTTTTGGGAGAGTCTTTTCCAGGTATGGGCATAGCTTCACTCAGCCAGAAGGATAAACTTGAAAAATCCAGTTTGTTTAAAGCAATTCATAAAGTAAAGTGATGTGGCATCAAGCTAGAAAGATAAAGCCAAGTTGAAGTGAAATTGTGGATGGTCTTCAGAGCCTTGTATTTTAGGCAGTGGGGAGCCACTTGTGTTGGAGCTAAAAAACTGAGTAATCAGACCTGTGCTTTAGTGACATTACTTTAACATCAGTGTGGAGACGGGAAGAAGAAGGATCTGGACACTTGGAGACCAGTGAGGAAGCTATTATAATAATATAGGCAAGAAGCCATTAAAAACCTGATCTAAGGCAGTGAAAATTGAGGCAAACAAGGTTAAATAACACCCAGGGTCACACAGATAGTTTCTGCTGGGTGAGCCTGGGCAAGTCACTTAACCCTGTTTGCCTCAGTTTCCTCGTCTGTAAAATGAGCTATAGAAGGAAATGGCAAATCGCTCCAATATCTTTGCCAGGAAAACCCCAAATGGGGTCACAAAGAGTCAGACACAACTGAAATGACCCAACAAAGCAATGTTGGTGCTAGGCAATTGGCAGTCATTATGGACTAAGGAAGATTCTCCCAAGTTTTTGAAGTGGAACAACCTGAGCAAATAAGATAGGGTTGGTTAAGTGTGTAGACAAGAGCAAAATTAAAAAAAAAAAAAAAGACAACATGTGGCCAAAATGAAGATGGGGTAATTGGTGAGAGAATTTAGACCAGTCTTTTCCCCTGATTTCCTAGAATGTGAAGGTGTGACTGGCTGTAATCAGGATCACAGCTAAAATGTTTAAATGGTTATTCCTTTATTATTTGATGCTATCAACAAACTTCATGGCCAATAAGAGTGATGATTATTTAAGCCAGTTCAGTATTTGAGACTGAAAAAGGAAAAATAAATGATATGAGAACAAATTTCCCTGATTTTGTAGACCAAAGTGGGGGCTTAAGCTTATTGGAGAGAATTTTGGAATGTTATTTATTTCTATGTAGTTTCAGAACATACTCCTATGTGACCTTTTGAGTTTAGAGAGATTTTTTTTTCAGCCAAAGACAAGGTTTATTAGGACATCCATCATATTGGGCAGACTCTTAAGGAATCTAAGCATTTGTGTCACTAATGCAAGCAGATCAAATCTTAAGAATCTGAGCCTTTGGCTAGATTTTAAGAATCTGAGCACCTTAATGGAGACAAGATGGATCTTACATACAGAATGACTGTGGAGGGGATCTAGGAGTGGCCTAGTAGTTTGGGGTAATTGGAGGAGGGGTCTAAGAAGGATCTGGATAGAAGTGCCCAGTAAGCTGCAGTGAACAGAACACCAGGGACCTGGGCCAAGCAGCTAAGGGAGAATGGAGCCTAGAGACAATAGAGAGATTTTTAAAAATTAACAAGGTGATGAATAAATAGTAGATAGGGATGTGGGAGAGGGGAGGATTGATATGTTTGTCCTCTTGAGCACCTGAAAGGTATTACTCACACCCAGCCTCACATATCCATACCCCTCAGTGCTTGATCCAAGAGCAATAAGATAAGACCTCTATTTGGGCATGCTCCTTAAAGCATTAAACTGTATCTGTTGCCTTCACAACTGATGAACCCTGTTCTTTAGCAAAATGTCTTGTCGTTAGATTGAAATTTGCATTTGGGAACTGAGTCTGGTGGTATTTATGCTGGAGAATGTAGTGTTGGCTATATCCTTAGCCCCTGAAACAGAAACAGTGATATTCCATTGTAGACTTATGACAGTGATCACACTACCCACTCACCCTCCAAAAAATGCAATAAATGGAGCAATAAATGCTGATTTTTTTGCAATTTAACTGAGATAAAGCATTGTAAACCATAAAGCGCTATATAACTGTCAGTTTGCTAATTTTTTTGTTTTGTTTTCATATACTACATTTAGTCTAATTGAGAAGTTAATTATATGTTGTTCATTAAATGGCAGTCAAAGAACGCCACCTAGTGAACAACTCTTATACAGTTTGTTCAGGTACATTACAATGACTTGATAAGTAAAGATTGATGTCGACTGTGGTTAGAAAAACGATCATTTAAAAGATTTTCCTACACCCCAGTAGCAAATGGAATACGCTGTCATGGAAATCTGGGTATATTAAAAGCTACTATCTTAGCAGCTATACAAGCAGGACTTGAGGAAATTACAAAATGGCTTCTAAAAGTACTATCAGAAATTTTGTACTTGCTAAAAAGTACTGAATGGCATAAAATATTGTTTTTTGAAAATGATTTTGGAAAACTAAAGGGAAATTCATTTTAGATGAGAAAATGTTCCAGTAAGAAATGGAAGTTGGAACCTCTATGCAGGAAATATTATAGAAATAAGTATTTTTTTTTAAGATCAAGAGGAAGAACTGTTTTCATTTTTGTATTTATATCCCCAAAATCTATCTATCACAGTGCCCTATAGGAGCTTAACAAATGTTTGTTTAATTGCCCTAAATTAAATCGTAAAAAAGCAAGGTGCATTTAGAATTAATTTTTAAATCTATTCCTATATCTGATCTCTTTTTTTTTTGTTTTTGTTGTTGTTGTTGTTGTTATTTTAGGCAATGGGGTTAAGTGACTTGCCCAGGGTCACACAGCTAGTAAGTGTGATGTGTCTGAGGTCAGATTTGAACTCACGTCCTCCTGAATCCAGGGCCGGTGCTCTATCCACTGAGCCAGCTAGCTGCCCCTGTCTGATCTCTTAAAAGGATAAAAACACCAGTGAAGTCAGAAAAAAAGGAAGTTTGGTTATAAATTGAACTTATACTTCTCAAGCTTGATTCATAGAACACGATAGCTGAGATAAAGTATTGGTTGGTTTATCAATGTTCCCACCAGGGCAGCAATTGCCTCTAGCTCCTTATCCCCCAGGCCTTCCTATTGATGAATCTTAGAATATCAATGATGTCTCTCAGGTATTGATTCTTTCTCCTTTGGTAGCCGAGGTCCTCTACATGAGCTCCAGAGCCTAGGCTTAATGCAGCAGAGGCCCCTTATTCACAACATTTTCAAGTGGTAATTTTAACTTTTTTTTTTTTGCCTATCATAGGGTAGTATAATTTTCTTAGTCTGTGTTACTGACATACAGGGTAGCCCAAAAATCTTAGGGTAATTTTGAGCTTGAATAACTTAAAACTGTACTAAGACTTTTGGGACATGCCTTGTATTTCAAAAGGAGATATTTTAAAATTAGAATGACTTGAAGAATATGATAAAGATGAGGAGAAATCTAGAAAATGTTATTTGAGCAACTGGGGATATTTAGCCTAGGGAAGATAAAATTTGATATGGACAGGCTCCTTTCTTCTA